TGTAGAAACTTTTTGAAAAAGGTTCTTCTGTTGTTAAAGCTTGACATCGTAATAATGGCAGAACCCTTTTTGGTGCTTTATAGAACCCCTTTCAAAAAGGTTCTATATACAAACATTTACTACAAATTCTCCATCAAATTTCATGCTTGCCAACAGTTAAGAGTGTTCATGGTTCTGTTTAGAACCAATGTCTGTACTAGAAAACCCTTAAAGAATCTTTTTTAAGAGTGTACACCTGTCTTGTAGCTATTTTCATTGGCCATTTTATCAGAAACAGCTATAGTTATATGCAAAATTTGTTCGGATGAAATGATCCAAACAAATGATGAAATGGTCTGCACAAATGATCAGCCCCCATTTCTACCCCATCCATCACTGGAGAGGGACTACCACAGCACCACCACTCATCAGATATTTAAGTGGTGGACCACTCGCAGCACCAACATATGTCTGTGCAGTAGTACGTCTGTGTGTTTGCAGGCACAGCAGGTGTTGCTGGGATGTTTAAAAACCTCAATCCTATAGCTGGGTTGAAAATAACCCAACAGCCAAAAATATCCAGCTAACAGTAGTCCTGTGGTCAGAAACTGACCACTAATGAAGTGCTAGAGCAGTGATCTCCAACTCTTGTCCTGGAGATGGCTTTTCTGCAGAGCCTAGTTCTAACCACAATTTGCCACCCCTGCTCCAGCTAATCAACCTCTTCCCAAGTCCCTGATTGGCTGGATCAGATGTATAGAGTTAAGGCAGGGCTTAGTGGATACAGGTTGCAACTAAACTCTGCAAGAAAGTAGATCTACAGGAGGAGGGTTGCTGACCACTGGGCTAGAGGACGACTGACAAATAGTGCATGAAAAAAAGATGAGCTACAGTCTTAATGTTTACAGTAAGTCAACAGTGTTAAAAAACTCTGCAACACTGCTGTGCCTGAAACACAATACCAGTGCAGCACACTAACATGCCACTACCTAGTCTTGCAGGGTCAATTGTGACCTTGTAACAAGTTTAGGGACAACCAGAGCCAGTATACATGGAGCCTGGCCACTTCCTATTTCTCCCATTATACCAAAAACATGACTGCAGAAAGCTAGATGGTGCCTGTAAGCCAGTCCTCAATGAATGGTGGTGAATGGAGCTAAATGGCTAAAAACAACCAACAACACATTACTCGTCATGCTGTGACTTCCTTTTTATGCTGTTGAAAAAAATGTGCATTTTTCTGTACAAAGATGATTAAGCATTCACAAGCTATTTTTTGCACAAAAGCTCCTTAGGAAACCATTTGTTTTGACCTTGCTCAGAGGAGTGCTGTAGAGTCTGATAAACCCAGAAGACAATAATGAGTGCCAAGTATCCTCATTACAAATTTTTTGGGGACAATTTGGTAAACTTTTGGTGCTTACAAGGGTATGCCCTCTCTAAAAGGGCCATCGCCAAATTTCTTTAGTCCATACTATTTAAACATCCAGAGTACAATCGATAATACGAACAAAACAAGCTAGATATCCAAACACTATCATTAGCTAAAGGAACTGTTTTTCTCTTGCAAGAGGTAATGTTTTTGTGTTTTCTGCATGTGACTTTTCCGCATGAGTTTTTTTGGGGGGTGGAGCTTTTTGAGCCATACTAACTTATGTTGCATTCTAGGGCTACTGACAGGTTTGTTGTACATTGGCCAATACAAAGAAGCACATCATCCTCAGATGTTCTCATTAAGAGATCATGTCTGGTCCCGCGAGACTAGCCACTACCAGTGTCGCTGTCACTGTTATGCTGAGAATCTTCCACCACCTAATAGCAGGTCAGTGGTGGTCCAATGGCAGCCCCTTTCCACTGAAGAATGGGGTAGAGGGTGGATGACAAATTGTGAAGCAACAGATACAGTCAGCAAATGTAAATTGACAATGTGCACCTATATGGGATGTGTTTCTGATAAAATGGGCAATAAGTGTAGGTAAGTTAGCGGTACCAAAAACTGGCAACTGTTTATGCTCCGTCATACAGTAGCTGTGCACTAACTTCTCTTTGGATAGAGGGCATGATGTGCAAGATGGAGGGCCTCGAGCTCTAAAACCATAAAGACTACCATTTTTGTATCCGTCGTGTTCCCTGTTGCATAGACGATAAAAAGAGAGGGCTTAACCAACCACACTCTCCATTCTCAAAGCAAACAACAACATGAAAGCATGCGCTTTAAGGAGAAAAAAAACATACTGAAAGCCAAAACCCCACAAACCCTCTGGAAATGTTAAGCAACAGCGCATGGGCCGATGTGCATATTTATGACTGGAAGGGGGAAAGAAAAGGATTTTGTAAAGAAAAAAAACTCTTTTGAAAGAAAAGGATTTTTCCCTTCATGGGGAAAATCAGAGATGGAGAGCAAGTAAATAAAGAAAAGAAGCATACTGAAGCAAGTCTAAAACAATCACCATCATTTATTTACAATATATTAAACCATAATGGAAAAAGAATTATTACTTATAACAAGTGGTCATTTATTCAATAAAGAAAATAAACATGAACTATTTTGAAAGCTAGGATGAATCATACAGATTTATATATATTCATATTAATGTGTACAGCCAGCAGTGTTATTTTTTTTTGCTTTGTGTTTTTTTTTATGAGCCAGCAACATCATAAAACACACGCTTGTCATATTAAAATTAATATTGACTGCATAGAAAAGAGGATGAAGTCATTGACCTGTGCACAGTCCATAAAGCCATGTAAAAAGCATGTGAAGGCTCCCTTCGAAATCAAAGAGAAGCAATGAGTCTTTCATCCTCATGCTGTTGTAAAAATGGTGTGCATTTGGCAGCTTGGCGCAATTCATTAATGCTAGTTCATAAATACTACGATGAAAGCAACATAATACAGTGAAGCAACAATAGAAATCAAAGGAGCTTGTTTTTCGTCTGCTTTAAGTGCACCTCTAACGTGTATCAAAGTCATTCAGTAAGGCTGAAAATACTGCTGAATCCAACTTGACAACATGCTTAAGGAAAGTAGGATTTCACAGCATCGGTTCAATTCATGAGCTCATGTTCTGTGTGTGTTGTGTTTAGCTGTATTGTAACAAACTAAAAGCCTTCACAGCTGTTAATAGCTGTGTGTTTTCCAGTATCAGGCCACTGTAATAGTGGAGCAAATCGAGAAAGAAATCACCAAACTGCACCAAACTCAGGATCAAGTACATTCCCTTTGAAAATTCAGAATGTATGCTATGAACAAGAAACAGGAGCATTAAAACAATGGCAAAAGAGAACAAAAACAACAAAAGATTTGCCTGTACTAAAAAGGGAATTTTCCACCCACTTTCCACCCAAAATCCCTACATAATTAAATGATCAAGGTGTGAACAAAGTCATTCAGGCGGTTTGACATGAAATGTTCAATTCTAGAGAAACTTAAGTCAGGATTGTTCACAGTGGTGGTGACTGGAACCAGATGCTCAAAGCCATTAATGCATTTAATGTTGTTTAATGCCTTTAAAAGCTGCCTCACAAAGTTATTACATGAAATGGTTTCGGTGTTTATGCCTGATGTCTGAGACATTGATTTACGCCTGCAGAAGGCAGAAGTGGAGGTTGGGAATTACAGAGACTTTGATAAGAATCACAACAAACTAAGTATATTCTCTGAAGAAGACATGATGATGGACATGCGACTCTTTGGTGAGACATCGGCAAACTCAATGCAATATCATAAGAAATACTTTAAGCCAAAGTGAAACAGTGTAATCAGATGGCTTTGAAATTGCAGTTATAAAAGGTATGAAATAGTTTTGAGATAAGATTTTTACTAACTCCATTCATGGTCAAGAGGTACATGCAGGGCATTTTGAGGCATTGTGTGTTGTCAGCTTTACATATAAAAACTCAAAAGACATATACAGATTCAGTGATCATTTTGCATAGCACATAAAATGTCATTTTGCCCCTTGGTTCATATCACCACCACTGTAAATTGGAATCAGTTTCTCTACAATACACAATTTCAAATTAAAACACCGAATGATTCTGTTTACATCTCAACAACTGAATCATGCAGATTTTTTTTTAAAAATGGTGGAATTTAGTTCAGTTGAAATCCACAAGACAAAACATATGTTGAAAAAAGCTGGCCCAGAACTCAATGTCCTCAAGCACAGCTTGGTATTTGCTTGGGCAAATCACTTCTGTCCTTTCAAACCACATCAAAACACAGTGACGACAGAGGCAGAAGAGGGTCTGCTTCCATCAGACAGCCGGGCAGGGCACTGTAAGAGCGGCGCACCAGACAAAGAAGAGCCGGGAGGTTCGGGAAGCTGTGAGAGTGTGTGAGAAGTGTGCCCACAGCTGTGGAGAGCAGAGCTTAAATCAATGGACCTCTCCCTCATCTCCCCTTAAGTCAAGCAAGAAGCACTAAAAACCTACAAACATGCTTGCAATAAAGGCTTTTTTTTGGTAGAACAAAATGTCCATTTTCATATTGTTTTATGAAGCGCAAAAAGGACACAACCCCCCGACTTAGCACTAGCAAACTAAATCCCACTTCTTTGGCTCAGCTTGACTTGTGCTGGAGGCTGGTCAAGCACGGAAGGACTCACGGGGCATTTTACTAGGCCTTGGTGCAACTGGCTTGGAAGTAGTAGGGGGATGGAGATGAAGCCAGTCCAACGAAAGAGAAAATGTACTGAACAGTGCTGAGTCTTTGATACTCAATGGCATAAGTACCCCATAATGAGTCGCACAAATAGAAGTAACAACAAATGCAATAAGAGTAATAATAAGGAGTGAAGGCTGTATCCTTGCAGACAGTGCAGTGAAGAAGGATCATAACACAGTGAGTTCCATCATACTCCTGTTCTGAAGATTCTCAGAGCCTGCCATTTGCATCAAGGCTCAAGAGGGACATCAATACTGAGAGGCAAGAACGTTCCAAAGTGTATGCATGTGCTGTGTTTGTGTACGTGTGTGGGATCACTACGCTGTGGTCTCGGACCGCTTGCCCTCGCTGTCGTTTAGGTAGCTGCTGCAGGAGTATCTAGAGCGGTAGGAGCTCCTGCCTTCTTCTTTCTCCTCCTCCTCTTCTTCCTCGTCAGATCTGTCGAGGCAGAAGCGTCTTCGGCCAGATGGGGGGCTGGAGATTAAAGAGTCTTTGATTAGAACCACGACAAAAAAAATACAAAAGTATATTCTCAGAAGGAGACATGATGACTGACATGCAACTCTTCAGTGAGATATCAACAAACTCCTGTCATGCTGTAAGTCAAAGTGAAACACTAATCAGATGCATGGCATTTAAAAAGATATGAAAAAAAACTGTCCACAAAAGTTAAGTATACTTTTACACAGTCCTTTTAAAACCACCTTCATGTTGCATGATAACTACTCAAAATCACACCAGCAAAATTACCATATAAATGAACTGTGCGCTCAAATTTCACAGGAGCAAATATATGGCTAATATCTCTCCCTCAACAAAAAGTCAGAGATAACTTTGTGTCACCATGGCTAATCTTTTCCTGGACAAAAATCCATCAAGCTTTAGGTTAATTGCTGCCTTTCTTGAACATGCGGGTGAGCTGGGCAGATCAATGGTCTGTTTTAATTATGTCTAAATTAAAATACCGGAGGGGAAATCTATGGTTGCTTCTGAATTGACTTCACTTACTCCACCGTTATTTTGTATTGGGGTAATTAATCACAAAGACATTTCAACAAATGATGCATCAACAGTTCCCCTTTCTGGCTAAATCTAAATAAGCACAAAAGCAATTACCCGATCCTTCAGAAAGACTTGTGAGTCATGATAAAACAGAGGAGTACTTTTGTTTCTTTTAGACACATTCATGCATATACACAGCAAACCATTAACTGGAGGCGTGATATAAATAAATTAAAACTGAACTTCCGTTCATTGGACATACTGGAACATACTGTGAAACTGTAATGAATTGTCGCAGTAAAAGGTGATGGTGTGTTTTCAGGAGAGAACAATTTTGGGGTTAGTTCAACACCATGCTTGCAATAGTCTTCACTCCAAACCAGGCAACACCTACTGCCAGATTCAGTCACTGTCAGCTCTGTACAGATACTTCATCATCACGCTATCCACGTTCTTCTTCCTCTTCTTCTCCTCCTTCTTGCTGAGTGGTGGAGGTGCTTCAGAAGGCCCTCCAGGCTCTCTCTCCTCTTCAGAGGCTGAAGCATTCCTACCAGGGGCTTTCTTGATGCTACTGGTGCTTCGATATGAGATGGTGGAAGCCCCAGAGCTGGAATCTGACTCAGAGCTGGACCCCGAATCTTCAGAGGAGGAAGATGAGGACTGCTTCTTGGATTTTTTCTTTTTCTTTCCCTTCTTCTTGGAACTCTTCTTCCTGTATTCGTCTTCGGACGAGTCTGAGCTGTGGCTCTTCTTCTTCTTGCTCTTCTTGCTGCTGCGGCTGCGGCTGCTGCGACTACTGCGACTACTGCGACTACTGCGACTGCTCAAGCTGCTGCTGGAGCGTCTGCAGTCCACAGCAGAGGCAGAGCGGCGCAGGCTGGAGGAGCTTCGGCTGCTTTCCCTGCCGCTCCTCACGCTCTTCCTGTCGTCGTCTTGCTCTTCCTCGGCCTGTCCCTCAGAGTCTTCCAGGCTGCTGCGCTTGAATGTGATGGGCTTGAAGTTTAGCACTTCATTGATGGCTGCCTCCAGGTCCGGGTCCAGATAGTTGCGGTGGCTGACCGGCTTGAGGTCCGACGTGTCCTGTGATACCGAGTCAGTGTCCCGAGATCGTGGAGGTACGGAGAGGCTACGGCCAGCAGAAGAACGAGAACTGAACGCCACGCTGAGGGAATCATCGTCCATGTCAAACTCGCTGAGGCGGCAGCTGCGGGACAGGGATATGCGGGAATCTGCACGGCTTAGGCTGCCAGGGCTGCGGCGGCTCAAGCCCGGGCTTAGGGCTGAGCCATATTCACTTTGAAAGTCATCCATCCGGGACATGCTTCGGCGCCGGCTCAGGGGGCTGATGGCGCTCACGCTGGACTTTACATCATCCAGGTCCAGGTCCAGGTTTGTGCAGCGGGTAGATGCTCGACTGGGTCCAACAGAGGACACAACTGACTCCTTGTCAAATTCAGACCAGCGGCTGTCCATGCCCTTCCTGGCCCTGCTGGCTGCCTCAGAGTAAGCCTGTGAGATAACAGATCCTCTATCGTCCAGATCGTTTCCCTTCCTCCACGAGCTCACAGAGTAGGAGTCATCCTGGACATCCTTGGCCTTGCTCTTGCGGAAGGATGTGAGTTCCTGAGAGTCACCCTGCTCCTTGAGGGTATTAAAGAGAGAGCTCTCGTCTCCTTTGCCGCCGATAGAGTCCTTCAAAGAGGAGCGTTTCCTATAGCTGAGGGAACTCATCACAGATACAGGCCTGCTCTGCTCTACCTCTTTACCTTCTTTGCCATTCTCTTTCCACTGTTTTCCCTCTTTGGCATCAACGTTTGTGGCATATCTAGATGAGGGGGTGGTGACAGGAGAGGAGGAGTGCACAGCAAAGACAGACAAATGGAACAAAGGAGGAAATAGGGTAGAAATAAAAGATGAGTTATAAACTTAAAAGGAAAAGATGATATTTACAAAGAGATGGATCTTCAAAGCAGCATTCAGCCCAGAATTAGCTGTTTAATATGTGTGACTCCTTATAGTAAAGACATTGTTAATTTAATATGTTAACTTTAATACTGTGCTACAAAACAAGGACTTTTATCATGACGTTTTGGGTTGTCTATCTAGGTTTGCTCCTTGTCAGAAAGACAAGATACATGGCTGTTGATTGACCAACAGCACATGTCCGAAAAGTGCTGGTTTTATTCCTACAAAATGTACTTACAGAAAGGAATCACACACATTCAAAAATGGTCTTGGGTTGAATCTTCCTTTAAAGCATAACCTCAGTTAGTAGCAATGGGGGACAGAACAGAAAGTTTGTGAAAACTGAGAAATCATGAGGATTTATCTAAGAACAGAAATCAAAATGCATTAAAGAGAAAAGAGAAAAAAAATTCAGATGGGATCTAATTTACTATGTGCAAAATCAATGACCTGGGCTCTGTATTGGCATTAAACATAAAGATCCGTTTCAGACAAAAATCACTCGGCTAATTGTGCAATAAGAGAGGCTCACGCTACTATACCACACTTTAATTGTCTTTACATAATGATTTATACTCATAAAAGTCCTGGAGAAATTATAAAGAAATGCTGGCTTGAGCCCAGATCCTGGGGCAAATGTTCTATGGGGAGCATGATTAAAAGGAATTTAAAGCTCCAAAGTTTTTAAAAGTTGTGAGGGGCTCAAGAGAGAGGCTTAAATCTTCTGGAAAAGAGACAAATGCAGGGCAATCGAAGCTGTCAGCCAGCAGGCTCAATCTATTAATCTCTGGGAGAGGGGCGCAGGTAGGCATGCCAGCTGGCCAACAGGCACGTCGATAAATCTGCCAAGGAGGCCAGTGCCTCTAAAGAAGCCTCTGTCATCAAACTAGCAGCAATGAGAATAAGTGTGAGAAGGGAGAGAGAGAGAGAGAGAGAGAGAGAGAGAGAGAGAGAGAGAGAGAGAGAGAGAGAGAGAGAGACAAAGATACGAGAACGAGCGAGAGATTGGGGAGAGAATGAAAAAAGAGAGAGAAATGAAGAGAAAAAAGAAAGAAGAAAGGTAGGCATGAAGAGGGACAGAAAAAGAGGGAAGAATAAAGAGAGCAAAACAGAGAAGCACAGAGAGAGAGAGATGGAGTGAAAAAGTAAAAAAGAGAAATGGAGAGGAAAAAAGCATGAGGTGATGAGAAAAGAAAGAGAAACAGAAAGTGAGAGGAAGGAGGGAAACATGCAGAGAGAGGGAGACAGAGAGAGCAAGAGAGACATGGAAAAAAGAGAGATAGCGAGACACTATAGCAGCAGGTAGTAAAATCTCCCTCAGAGCACTAATACTGTTTTCTCAGCCTGTTTTATCTGCATGGTGTGTGGTGTGTGGGGGTTGAACTGAAGGATTCGGTGGCCAAGCGGGCAGGAGCGGTCACAGTACTGACCTTGAACTCTTCAGGCTGCCGTCGTCTGACAGGTTCTTGGCGGAGCTCTTGTTCTTAGAGAGCCATGACTTCACCCCATCCACACGGCCCTCCACTTCAGAGCCTGAATCAGAGTCTCCCTCGCTGAGAGGAAGGAGAGCAGATAGAGAGCGTCAGAGGCGGAACAAAAGCAGATTGGCCATGGACTGTTAGTCTAGTGATAGGGGACAAACAAAGCGCTCTATAGCACAGACACAGCAGCACTGACACATGCGCTGAAACAGAAGAGACCCCACAGCTCCAACGCCATTCTCTGTGTGTTAGTGAGCACTCAGACTCTCGTCCCTCTATTAGCTGCCCCTGGACAGACACTGTGAGCTTATCTGAGTGGACTGGGTCTGCACGCACAAAGCCGAACCAGGAGAGAGGAAAGCATTTAAACAGGACCTGATAAATATTAGAAGGGCTTCACGATTTTTTATGTCCTTATCTAACCAAAATAGCTTTTAACCTCAGGATAATAAATTAAACGGAGGCTTTGGGGCACAATTGCCGTCCTTCTAAATGACAGCAAAATGGTGGCTGATAGCTATTTAAGAGTAGAATTATGGGCTGCCAGAGGTCTATAAAAGACCAAAAAAATAAAAACCCAAAAGCTTTTAACACTTCAAAGCTTTCTGCACAGCTGCTGATAAAGAGTACTCTGCTCATCTCACATTACCAAAGAAACCATCATCTTAACTATTTTAACCCATAACTTCAACTTCAAATCGGCATAACTCTGCACTGTCCACACTGTAAGTAAGATATCAAAAGAACATCAAATTTACGCAATTTAAATTTTCAATGGACCAAATTCTACATTTTTTGGTATTTCATGTCTCCCCTGGGGACCACCTATGGCATTTATGTGGATTTATGTACCAAAAACAGTTGTAATTCATTTGTAAATCTCATTTTGTCTCTCTGTCTTCAACACACTGTTCTGTTATAGTGCCTTTAAGACTGATATATGTAACTGGGCTCTGTTGCGATTGACTGCCCTGTACTGTGCCTCATTCACAAAACTGTTTGGGCTGAAATACTCCTTTAAACATCAACACAGATATATATACACATGCTCTGGCTTTCATGACTCTTGTTAAAAAAACGGCATATTTGGCTTTCCATGATATAATTTTTTTGTAAGTTTGCTTCTTTAAATTTGCACTGGAGAAATTAAGCTGACCAGTAATGTAACTCTTTTCATCCAAAATGTTTTTGGATGACAGATCTCAAATAAATTAACCTCCTAGCATAAAACTTTTGTATAAAACAAAAGAAGCAAACACTGGACAACAAACATGTCTTGGCTGATCAACTACATTTTGTATAAATTTGATTTTTGTCAAACAATTCCTTTAATTACTTGGAATGGCAGATCATAAAAACAAAGTCTATTTTAACCCTCTACTGCACGCATTGTGAAAGCAATATAAAAAAAATATATATTTAATTCACTTTTCTTGCATAAATTGGTCCTTGATGTATTTTTTCCAGCTTAATTATTAACTTTAAAAACATAAAATGTGTGTAGGGGTCCTTTTGGAGTATGTTGCCTTGAAGCAATGCTGTGCGACAATGGGAAGAAACGGAGACATGTTTCTTCAAGTGGTGAGACCTGGCTTGCGACTGGCTAAATCCATTCCACTGTTGCACAGTGTTGCTTCTAGGCAAGAAATATGTTTCTGCAAAAAACAATTGATAATGAATGTGTAAAAAGAGGTTTAAATGTGCCCACTAAGAGATAGTTTGACCAAGTATATGCTTTTTGCCTTAAACTCTTACCCTTTATTGTTGACCCTATCGTTGTCTTTGAACACGTGTTAAATATAATGTAATTGTACAGTGAGGAAAATGAGTTGGTTGCCAGGAGGCAACATCATGCAATAGAGGTTTAAGAGGTGCAAGGTTCTCTTATTGCATCCCAACCCTGCACTATGACAAGATAAATGTGCCAAAAAGGTTCTTTGGAGCAATGCTACAGAAGAACCACATTTTGTTCCCAAAAGAATATGAAAAGTTCCTCATAGAACCTAAAGTGGTTCTTCAATGGTATTGCTCCAAAGAATCCTTTAGACATTTTTATTTTAAAAGACTGTGGTCCTGGTCCTACACATTTTCACTCTGCTTTAACACACTTTATCCAACTAATCACTAGTTGAGAAGGCCTTCCTAAATGAAAGCAGGTCTGTTAGAGCTGGAAAAACACTGGCTTTAAAATGTGAAGGCAGAGGTGCTACAGGACCAAGGTTGGGAAATATCAGTTTCCACAATGGTCTGAAAGAGGTAGGCATCATTTTGGAGCCATAATTAACTCTGCTCACCGTGGCTGCATCACTCTACAAACGAATGCAAAACAGCACTGATGGAGGAGCAGCAGTGCTGTCAATAAGAGAAGCAAACCCAGACAGAGGGCCCCTATGAGCAGACACATTAATGGGCTGTGCATCGAGCAGCTAACCCAGTCCCAGGCCTGTTTGCCTATTTCTCAGGCTCAGATAAAAGTGTGGCATTTATGTTTGGCCAGATTTGCAAGTCAATGCTTCCCAGCCTCTTCAGATTAGTCTTATCGTTCACTTATCAGCCAGTGCTGCGCACGGAATAACTATAAAACGGCCTTGGAGAATCCAGAAGGTAGCAGCAGCTCCACTTGTGTCGACAAGCGAAAGGAAAAAAATTCCATGATGGGGCCACGGCTACCAGTTTTGTTTTAATTGGGATTTCAATAATCATATTATATAGTCGTCCTCTGAGACCATCGCAGTTAAACGCCACCAAATTACATTACAGACAATACTCTGGCTCATTATTTCAGTGCTGTGAAATGAAGGTTAACTCCAAAGCTGCAGCTGCCCATCTTTGATACTAGTCTGGGTAGTGCGCAGTGTTTCTCCGTCCAATTTACAATGCATGATATTCATCATGTCTTTTTTTTGTTGTTTCATAAGTTAGAACAGATAAAAAAGGACAAATAGTGGCACATTTAAAAAATACTGTCAAAAAACATGAATACAACTGTTTATGTCAATGTTCAATTATGCTCTCTTTGTATTGAAACATGCAGCTGGTCAGTGTTATTTAAGCACTGATGATATCCACAATATGCTCAGAAATAAAGCATATTACAGTAAGCATGATAATGACAAATATACACAGGCCAAAAGCAAAGTTTTCTCAAACCTATAATAAATTACGTCTCAGGCATCAGAGAGCACATTCCTAACCATTTTGGGTGCGACATTTATCTGAAGTAGGTTTTAGAGTCATTAAACGCTTTAGACGTCTTGTTTCTATCACAACTGCTGTGAACAATTCTGACTCAGTCATTTTCTCTAGAACGAAGCATTTCACGTCAAATCATTCTAAATAACTCTGTTTACATATTGACAACTATATCATCTTGAAATTAAAGTAAAGGTAACTGCTTAAGTAAGTTTCTGTTATCCTTTAAAAACAATAAAACTAATAATCATCATTGTTCAGTGATACTAACACCTTTATAGACATTTTATAGCTCAGCACTACATGAGGGCATTATGCACTCACAAAGTGCAAACACTGGGAAAATGAAACTGAACACAAACCAGAGAGACGGGATAGAGGATGAAAAACAATCAGTCCTGACGCACATATAGTAGGATAGGAGAGCCCACGGCCATATCAGATCAGATCACAGGCTGCCTACTAGTCTGGCTGTGTGGGCACTCACTCTGCTCTCACACGGCCTCCCTGATCCCTCGAGTGGAGACTGAGGTGAGAAGCTGTGTGTGAGCATGTATATGTGTGTGGTAGCTTCGAGCTGTGCCGAATAGCCCCACGGTAAGCCTTGGGACAGCAGGCGCTTTGTAATCAAGCACTTACCCAAAGTGTCACACACAATTTATGTCCTTGACCGCATACCATTAGTTAAGCTGTGCTACGGCCCAGGGGAGCAAACAAACACCACAGAGAGCAGCGAGGGACATTAATTGCCTGTGACAATGCGCCTCTATTGGTTGTACATCTCTGTTAAACACTATTACATTTATCATTAGCCCCTACAGATCTCTCTCAGCCCTCGAGTCTCATACGTGTTCACGCTTCTGACAGGAAAACCTCCCGGAGAGCCGGATTCTGTAGAATGTTTCAGATTAGCTATGAAGTCTTTTATTATGAAATATCAGTTATTATATAAATGAATGAGTATTTATTTCAGTGTTGCTCTCAAATGATCTCTCCTCTTTATTTACTGCACTTCTCCAAAGGCCTGTGAAACTGTGATTTTTATTTGTTAAGTGTAAAGTTTTCTATTTAAAAGAAAGAGCAAGATTAACCTCTGAGAAAACAGTGAATTCATTTCCCAGAGGCTTTAAGTGTGTAGTAATTTGACCACTGTTTAAGCCAGAGTTCTCTGTAAACCGTATGTATGTTACTCAAACAACATTTCAGCTTTGTAGGCACACATGTTGCTACTATCACATCGACTCCTCGTTAGAAAATGAGTCGAACAAAACCGTTGACATGCCCATGAACTCGCAGGCCAGAAGGTTCCTAGCGCTGGGTTTCTTGGTCAGCTCTGCTCAGCAGCGTACGCTCCCATTAGCATTCAGAGCCAAATACATTTTCACATGAAATAAAAAAGGGTTTTGGAGCTTAACAAGGGTTTTAAAAATGGAAAATGCAATAAGTGCTGGTCGCCGCAGACCTTGAGCTACTGCAAAGGGAATAGAGCTGGCCCAGTGCCAGAGGCTGGTACTGCGTTGGAGGCCACTGGTAGACGAGTTGGGGGGCTTTTTGTAGGTCATTTGAGGGTTATCTATTATTTAACTTTGCTTGGTTGAAAGATTGATGAGGAACACGCCCTCCTCTCTCTGTCAAAGGCTGCTGGGTCCCAGGAGCAGGACTGTGAAATATTCAGACACAGACAGTGTAAGAGAGCGAGAGAGAGAGAGAAGAGCGAGAGAGAGAGATGGAGATGGGAAGAGTAAAGGGTCGCCCCATGTTGCTGGCTCTGTGGTTCCTGACGGCTCTAGAGGACAGCAGGGAGTCAGTTCACATTCTAAGCCCGGAGGGAGTACACTCTGGGCAAGGCCACACAAACTACTTGACACTTACCTGCCACTGGATAGTGACTACAGTAGCTGGATAAAGGTTATCCTCAAGCATACTGTTAAGGGAACAGTGGGGAAGTGTTTAGAAGGGGAAATCAAATGGGTACCATGCTTTGGAGAATCAGCTGGGAGTGTCATGTGGTCAGTGGCATGCATTCACTGCAGCATGTGCTCCCATGCAAAACAAAAGGTGGACAAAAAAACATTTAGGTGGGTTATGTTAATTGTCATATCCGAGGAGCGTATTGCAGCATCTCTAAGATTTGATCGTTTTGATTCCCAGTGCAGTTACAATTACAACTGTTGAAAAATGCAAGCAGCTGAGCATTTTTTATCCTTGGAATTCGAGACTTTTCACCTTTGTTCTGCTATCCTATTCAAATGTAATTATGTATTTATGTATGTAATTACATAATGAGATGCAATGCATTACATTTACAGTCATGTGCAAACATTTAAACACTGCAGACTCACGCGATAACAACAGCCTTATTTGTTTATTACGTCACGCCGCACAAGAAGCCGCAAATGAAATCTGGGACTGTGCAACTTCAGTTATGCTGCAAGTCAGATTACACGATAACCTTCTTTTTCCCCCGAAAAATAGTCGCACAACCAAAAAAGCCTTCGGCTTTATGTTTTGCCTGAAAAACAAGCACTGGACTGTGAAGAGGAAGAGTCTGGAGCCATCCATGGCTGTTGAAGAGGGCAACATGGAATGTCCACTCTCCAAAGTGAGCTTAAGGAAAGTAAGCTCATTATTCATTTCACTCTGCTCCCTATTGGCTGTTTTTAGATGTGCGTCATAGCAGTGGTCCCTTTTTCAGATTGTGGACCAAAATTTCTGACACTATCAGAATGTAGGCTGTAATTGGGGCAGCAAATCAGCTGCCATGGAGCATGTCACATTAAATGTTCAAAGACCATTTTAGCATATCCCACTTATTTGATTGAACTACTAGTGAGAAATAACAATGAATTACACCATGCTTTTCTCATCACGGATGATAACTCAGACTTCTAAGTGTTTAATAAAAGGTTATATAATCGAAGAATTTCATGATTTTTGTCTGTGACAGCATTCACGTGATAAATGTACAATGTTAATCTTCCATAACACATCCTCTACAGAGACTTACTGAAACTTACTGAATTTTTTTTGTTTTTAATATACAGATTATTGTTTATATAATTTTTTCTGCAAATTGTATTGCATAATTCCTATTTATTTGCTGAGTTTAACATATTGGAAAATATAAAACTAATTATGCATTTTTATTATTACTTTTGCACAGCTCACATTTTATTATTATTATTTTTAAAATGTTAAATTCAGCAAATAAACAGCAAAACAATGCAAAATGTGCAGAACTGTATTCTCAGTACAGGATGTGTTAAATTTGTGTCTTATTTTCTCTTCATCGATCAATAAAACAATCATTTGACCAGGGGTGCCTAAGTTTTTGCATAAGACTGTACGTTAGATTTTCATTCTGTAACAACAGGGTCAAATATGCAATTCCTATTTTTTGCCACAAAATTTTGATGTTAATAAGTAACAAACGTTGTAAAACCGACCATATGTTATTACCCTTCAAACTCAAGTCATAATAAAATTTCTCCTCTTCTACTTAGAAACACAAATCTTATATCAATGGAAAGTTCTGACTGAAGATTAAATTTGCACTATGAATAGCATATCCCACTCGTTTGATTGAACTACGTGTGAGAAATAACAGTGAATTACACCATGCTTTTCTCATCACGGATGATAACTCAGACTTCTAAGTGTTTAATAAAAAGTGCAACTGCTGGCAGGGTCATTTTCTCCAAATATAATTGATACTGCAATATTATCCAAGGAAAGGACAGTCCAAACCAGGTTAACGTAAGCTCAAATGTGTGCTTGGAGCTCCTCACGTTCTGTTCTTTCGTTTCTGATACTTAGTCACCATGTCTTGTAAACTGGAGATGGAAGATGGATGAGAAACAAACAAACAAACACAAAAAAGGGAAAAAAGAGAAAAGTGAGACAGACACACGTTACATAAACCAAAAGAACAAGAGATGAACAGCACCCGAAGGGAATAAGAAATGTGGGTTTAAAACAAAAGCCTAGAAGCTGAGATCATCCCTGTGTTTGAATATTTATTGTGCCTACTGACAAGGATTCTACTGCTTCGTTGTCTCTAAGGAACTCTAAGGCTCCTGACCCCTGTATTACTTTAACTGTACTCCCCTTTTCACTGAATCACAGACACTCACTCACTCACAAGCACAGCACTATATTCCAGCCTGAAAGCTGAGGATGCATTCAATGATCTCCATCAAGCCTACACTACAAACAAACACACAAACAAACAAGCTTCAGCAAGAGTCAGAGAATGCTCCAGCCAGAGTGAAAAACTACGGGAGTAGAACAGAACATGACTTCACTGAAGTGACTACTGATGGAGCTGAATAGATTACAAAAACAGGATCTCCAAATTATGCACGGCAGTTTTCACAGCATCAATATTTCAGGCAGTGGGAATAAGAGATGAATGAGAGTGGGGACGCTTGGCCTGTTTCACAAGTTCAATGAAGACGGCGCTGGGTCTGACTCAGTCTGCTCTTCTCCTCCATGGACTTCTGTAATACTGTAGAGAGAGACAGAAGAAGAAGCAGAGACAGAGGCAGGCTTTACCTATTAATTAGATCTTCATTGTCATCACTCTCCATTTCATCCTCAATAGCGGCCTGCAGGTCACCAATCCGTTTGAATGCCAGCTTGAGGTCTGCCTGGAGACTCTGGTTCGCAGCCTCCAAACTCTCAATGTCCATTTCCTACAGGAACAGGATCATTTAGATCAGCAGTCGGCCTGATATTTTTACAACAGCACAACCACAACTTTGTCGTTTTATCCTTAATTGATGTCTTTAAAAGCCTATGATTTATTAGTGTAATCTAACATAGTGAAGCACTCTAAAGACTACCACACAATGGACACCAGAGATAGTGACACCACTGTATTACTGTACTATATTAACCCAGACCATAGTAAGCAACTTGGCTTGAACTTTATACAGAGAAAAGTGTATCTAAAGTCTGTCAATCTAAAACAGGCAAATGCTAACTGTGAGAACGTTAGTAGCTGATGCTAACATTACTAGCTTAACGTCACCTCAAAGGCACGACCTCCACCTCATACCTTTATCTTGAAATCAGCTAATGTGTCAAGAGTTAGTTAGCTGATACCAAACCTAATAAATTCACTAAATTATGTCAAATGTTTTATTCTATCAAATCTATATGAGTCGAGTATAAAATGATTTTGATGTTTATATGCTGTTATAGCTATATGGTTGTCTGATGTGCTATAGCTGCACTATGTACTGCAACATGGCACTTCTTGTCTGGTGTGCGGTAACCCTTAGCCAGCTGCAGTACAATTTCTTTGTTTCCTTCATTAGACTAAGTTGACAGAAAATTCTGACCAAACCGTCAGACAAAGGCTTTTCGTGCCCCTCTGGTAGAGTATAGAGTTCAGACATTTCATGGTTCTTAAATGCTAGAATGTACAACATTACAGAGAAGATATTTTTCACATGTTGCTTTTACTATGAACTATCCTTTAAGGCTGCTATAAGAAGGTGAGCTTAGTGACTGTTTTCTAGCCATGCTACTTAAAAGGGCTTGTAAGTCTGTCATGAAAATAAAATTAGATTTAGGTCTGTAATTTGTTTTTCAATCAATATATTACCAGAAAAAATGTACTTTAAAAAAAGTTAATATTCATTTTTTTGCCCAGATTTCATTAGCATGGTGAGCATTTTGCAACAGCATGCATGCATAACAGCATTCATGTACCACCAACTTCAAACTTAACGAGGGGTCAGAAAACAGGAGAAATACAAAAAGCACCAGCCCTTTGCAGACCCAGAAATTGCATATAACTGTTCCAGATCGAACAGCGGTCAGTAAGTGTGAATCAGTGTGAAAAGTTGATGTGTCCATGAGTGAGGTCAGGTTGCGGCTCTCACCAGCTCGTGTTTCTTGCGGCTGGCTTCAGCCTCCTTCTTGGCCAGCTCAGCCATCTCCTCCTTGAGGTCACGCATTTGTCGCAGTAGCCGCTTGTTCTGCTCCTTCTCGCGGTTCTCGCTGGTGCTGCGCTGGTCGCGTTCCTCCGTAAGCTTCTCCACATTCTCCTTTAGCCTGGACACCAGACCCTGGAGCACAGTACAAAGAGAAGAGCTGTTAACACACTCACTCACCACCTCAGCACAAAGGGAAAAACTAAAAGCTGCAGTCTTGTCTGTCTTTAGAAATAATGAGGTTTAACTCAGCTATTACTAAAGGTTATGCAGCTTTAACTCAGCCATTACTGAACTGAAGGTAATTCAGGTAAGTTTTGCATTGTGTAAAAATATCTGAGCCCCATTTCCTTAAGATCTCTCTCAGAAAGCTCTTGTTTGGAAGATGCAGTTTGTGTAATTGTGCAGATGATGTGACAAACATAACAGATGTGAATGACGAAGGTGACTGCCTGCTAGCAAATGCTACTAAAGAAAACAAAAACAAAGGCAAAAACCAGCCATTGGAGAAAGCTTTATTCGAGTCCTAACCTTGAGCAACAGGAATCGCTAAGTTGTTAAGTGATCTAAAACGCTATTTTCTTCATCAGATCAGTTCATTACCACCCAGAAAACAAAAACATTACCCAGAAAACAAATGTGTGAGCAATGTTTACTACTGTACTGTGCAAAAGTCAGAAAACCTTCATTTATTTAATTTCCAGTCAAAACAGTCTTTATGCAGAAGTTGGTCATTTTTCAGGAGACATTTCTAATGAGATTAGATACATGCCAATGTCTTGCCTGCTTCACAAACTTGCTTAAAGAAAAGATAAGTAAAAAGGAAAACTGGAAAAAACAGGCGTTTCCAAAACTGGAGTTACAAAGAAAATGTGACTCCATGCAAGACCATCAAAACTGTTACCATCATATAAACAGTACTTAAAGCTTTCATGTTTAAGAGAGAGGAAAAAATCAAACTCCAATCTTTCTTCACTCTTATTTCTGTCTATTCTTCCACTGTGAGAAGACAGATCTATGCTATGGGTCTGAAAGAATGCGGAGCTGTCAAAAAGCTGTTTCTAAGAAAGGAGGTAACACTATTTGAACACTGACACAAGCATGCCATAAATATACCCTGTCATGGTTGATGTCACATTTTGTTGCGTCATAAGCGTATGTTACCATTACCGTTAATTGTCATGACAGATGTCATAGGGTTTGATGTCATTAAGGCTTACTAGAGTACACAGCAAAAAATAGCATATGACATAAGCTGTCCTGACAGCAAGCCTTTTTGGAAGGCAATTACTGGTAGTGGTAACATGACACTGTTATATTACTGAAGAAAATCTGTTATGATGGCATATCACATCTGCCATGACATGAGGCGTTTTCAGAACAATGGACAGACCACCCCAGAGCCCAGATCTTAATATCACTGAATGTGTTCGGGGTTACTTGGATCATGCAAAGCAGAAAATGCATCGCATCCAACTTCTGGACTTGGCGGTGTAGAAAAATATTCCTGTAGATTTCTTTAAAAAACTAAAAGCAAGTCTCCTGAAAAAAAAGAGAGCTGCAATAAAAGTGTGGACACACTAATTACTAAACAAAAAAGATATATTTTCAGTTAACGACTTGCGCTTAATGACCGTTTTGACTGGAAATGACATAAACTAATGGTGGTCTCTGAATTTTGTGCAGTACTGTACTGTACTTGGTGCCACTTCTGATGCTTTAAGTGGTAGAACATTCACCACAAAGAGGTTAGAGGGTACAGCCTGAGAGGGATATGAATAGTGGGTGTGTATATTTTTACTTTCATTCTTTTCTGACTTTCGACTGCCTGCTTGCTGACCTTATGACACTTCGGCTACTCGGCCTGGTCAGCCCACACATACACACACATGCTCACACATCAACAAACACACGGACACACAAACAGATGCGCAAACATACTGACAGTACTTGTCCTTCCCACTCACCTCCAGGCGCTTGACCTGTGTCTTCTCAAACTCAAGTTTGGTCTCTATCTCACGGATCTTGGCCTCTTGCCTGCTGACCAGAGACTTGTCCACCATGGACTGTTCCTGAAACTCCAGCTGACTCTGCAGGGCTGTGAGCTGACAGAGTACACACACGCACACACGCACACACACACACACACACACACACACACACACACAGAGTGAGTTTGTACACACACACAGACCCCCCCACACACACACACACAGCCTAGCGCATACAATGCAGACAACAAAATCCATCTGTATTCTACAGATAGCCTTGCTGTGGGGTCTGAATTGAATTGCGCTACCTTCAGAGCTGCATATTGTTGTTCCTGTCAATGACTGAAATGAGGCAAAACTTGCCTGATTCTCTATGGAGAATCGCCACAGGGCGTCTTGACTGCAGCCATTTTTAAAAGTGTTCCGCTGCTCTCCATTGACCCAGCCCTGTTCAGCCCAGGATACCACATTGGATACTTAATTACCCACGCTTCGAATCCATTATTCAAAAGGCCTCTCGGCACCTTTGAATTCCTATTTTCCCCATCAACTGAGTGTGCTCTCACCTATTTTCAAAAAAGGTGAAGAATTTCGGAGCTGAGAATAATGATTTCCCTCCTATTGACTTTCGGGCCAGACTTGGGTCCATGGTTTGTTTGAACTATGCCGCAATTTTAGATTTTAAGATGAAAACAAGAGTGGCCTTGTACAACTTAAAAAAAATAAAATAAAATAAAAATAAACCAGTGCTGGAGAATAAAAAAATCTTTGAAATCCTTTGACCTCTCCAATGTGCTCGAGGCGTCAACGAGCTTTTCGTACAAGCCTGGACGGGTTAGATGTTGCTGTACGGCCAGCGGAGCCCATCCAAGCTGTATATCTGAGGGAAAGAATCTGAAGTAAGGGCCAGATTAGCCTAGCGCAACGGCGTGGATAATTGCTGAGAGGCAGGCTCTGATTTTTATCTCCTGCTTGTAGCATTTTGGGGTAACAGTGAGACACAGATCTCATAAGTCTTGACCTTATCGCTACATGAGCTTTTGAGACACAGAGCAAAAAGGCTGCGGCTGATTGAGGCTTAACTGTTACACAGCAGTGACCCAACTGTTAAAAGAGACAGAGTTTACACAAACATAAGCATTGAACATCTTGTCCTTTATCAAGATAAGCTTCACCTCCACTTTGCTAATTAGGGTAGATCAGTGACACAACCTCAACCCCGTCCTTGTCTGTTGAGGAAAGGGCTTTTTATCATTAATTGATATTGTCTTTATTTGCCCATGCTATTTTCGTCTTTTATTACATTTTGAATGAGAATTAGCCAGGCATTTTCAGACAAAAACAGACCGTAAAGCAGAACTTAGTGTTTTTATGAGTCAACATTGCTATGTTTATAAGCCATCATAAAACATTTTTATCTAATGCTAAGGAAAAAGTTACAGTGCAAAATTAAACTAAATTGTAGATGGCCTAATGGCATGTTGCTTTTTACTTTTTTAGCACATATTGGTAAAGCTACTGTAACCAAGTAGGGTAACTTACTACTGTTCTGGCTACGCTACTGTATCAAAGTTAATGTATGTAAAGAGGTGTGCTGCATCATAGCAAAATTTTTGCTTCCATTATTTGTTTTTACTAGAGATGTAAATGATGTGCCATCAACTGACAAACAGCTGTCTGACCACTGCTATCTGTTAAAGTGAATTTTATTTTATTTAATTTCCAATAAACAATGGTTCCTATGTGAATGGGTGGGTTTATCATTCAAGTTCAATGTTTTTGAATTGTACCTATGAGGGTGCAACAGCTCTGCTAGTTAACTGAAAAGAGCAGCTAAAATAGTGGTGTTCAGACCACTTTTCAAGAGAATGAAAGCATAACTACAACAATGTACCATATTGAAATATATGTTGCGTATATGTGCTCCATCATATTCCAGTCATTTCGGCAAGTTTTTAGTTTTTGACAGCTGTCAGTATGTTTAACACAGTTTCGAGCTGTTTACTTCATATACATGCTAACGCCTGGTCCTACCTACCAGTACTACCTTCCACAGCTCATTCAAGGAACTCTCTTGGTACTTTAATACAGAATTCAGTTGGTGTGAGTGGTGTGCATATATCAAGGGCTTTGAAAGTGGCTCAGCCAATCAGATTTCAGAAACAGAATGTACTTTTTCTGAAATTTATGATTAAAAATATCAGTTTTATGACAGATATTTTGATGGGTTGCATCCTTGATTTTATCAAATTTCTTTACATTAAAATTCTGTATACATTTTTTTTGGACACAGATGATTTGCAATAGGCCTTATGGTCCCGTAAGCTAGATACTTCAAATCAAAATGGCAAAATGAAACTTTTTATGATTTAATAAATTCCCCTTACATAATATACAAGGCACAATAACAGATAAACACAATAGACAAAACAGTCCAACCAGTTAGTCACGAGCAGTGCCCAGAAGCCTCAGCTGTTTAGACTTACCTTCTCCTGGACTTCCTGTTTCTCTTTCAAAGCCTCCTCCAGCTGGGCCTGGAGCTCGCTGATCTGGGCCAAGCTCTGAGATGACTGTACAAAATGGCAGTAAAGAAGACAGAATGGTCAAATGTTTCCACTATAATGACCAAGTCAATGAGCAGCACTGCATTGGAAATGCTACATAAAAATCACCAATGCACACACAGATATAATGTATGGATGGATGTGAAATAAAACAGCAGGTGCTACGTGCTGAAAGGCTTCACAGCAAAATCACAGCTGCTGTGTGAAATGACACAGTAACTACAAGTGTGTGATATGGAGCAGAGAAAGTGAGAAAGTGACAGGAAGAAAGAATTTGTATCTAGACTCAGTCTCCACACATCAAAAATGGATGGAACCTCCAGTACGCAAAAGTGTTTGACTAAATGAAGCCTGGGGCTGGTGGAGTAAGCCCAGAGAACTGTCAGGACAGCATGTTCATTTAGAGCATGTGGAGGAAAACTGCTTCAATCTGTATGTCATTGTCATATCTGAGAGCTTAATGCAAACCAACGTTTAAATACATTCAGATCGTCTACAAAGTTGCCCTGCTGATTGTACATTAATAACTAGCAGAGTAACTACAAACAAAACAAAGAAAATGAGAACCACTTCAATCTCTACCTACACGTTGTCAGTTTGATCTTTTGGCTTGACAGGAATGAGCCACTGTAAAAAAAAGGCAGTAAATCATATTGGCAAATGACAATGGTTTGTGAAGTGCGGAAATAGTAATAAAGTGCAAAGCTTTTCGAATGGAGCAAAATTGCAGCAAAACATTTTGCAACCCAAATGTTTTTTCCCCCAGAAATGTTTTTTTTTTTTCATCCCCCCCTTATATACTGAGCACTGTAAGGGCCGCGGTGCAATTTTCAGGAGAGCATCATTGTGGAGACAAGCTTTCAGAAAATAATAACCCTAAAAATACTGCCATCCAGCTGGAGACCAGTGCCATTATACGGTGTGTCGTGGGCTTGTGGGGGGGCCCCAGGCTGTGTACATGCTGTCCTACTAGTAGTATTTTGACATAGGGAAGACAGTGGTTCTGTGTGCAGTGCTTTGACAGGTCTGGGAAGGCTACCTGGGCAACGGCGGCTTTGTGCTTCTTCATGAGCTCATTCATGTCCTCCTGGTCCTCCTCCATGCGTGACTGTAGGTCATTCTTCTCGCGCTGCACGCGGCTCAGCTGCTCCTCCAGCTGGGAGGGACACAAAACACACGGCATGATTAGAAAGCAGCACGAGAAAATCAGTATTCGCAAAAGCAACCATGCTTGAGTTTCGCTTCGTGCAAGAAAATAGCTCAACAAGAGTGGTGTCTCACAAAAGAGCTCAACCCACAAGAAATTTGTCAATATTTCAAGCAGGAGCCCAGAGGCTGTGATTGAGTTTTTGTAATATTTTGTATTCACCTGCTGACTGAGAATTGGATGCTTACACGGGGACCGCAGGCCCTCCCACACATAATCCCCCCGCACGCCCTTCAGAGCTCAGAAATGCAAGAGCCGCATACAATTACAGCTTTTTACAATTAGCCGCTAACGTTGGCACTTTTCGAGCTGCCTTTCCTGGGAGTATCAGAGGTCTAATTCCATTCAATAATAATTACTTCAACAATACAGTAAGGCAATCTCTGAAGAGTAAGGGCTGAATGTGTTAATAAGGGATGAAAAATGTGGATATCAGAGAATGCTAATGAATTCATTAACACATAAGTGGGAAATGGAACGGAGTTCGGAACCAGCGTAGTCGCCGAGGCATCCATCTTACTCACGTGTTGCAGAAACTCACTAAGACATGGTTAATGGCCCGAATCCATTCCCCTTTAGTCAAACTGCCCATTACAGGGTATGTGAGATTTTTTGATTACAGTTTATTGAACAAATTATATTTTAGCACTGGCACTTGCACACAGTAAAACGGACAATAACTCAGCATTTGTAAATTACACAGTTAATAGTTTATGCTCTTAGCGTACCAAGATTGCAGTAGAATTTTACAATGACACATCCTTTGTAGTAAAACATAATACTAATAGTAAACACTTTATGAAACTACAAAAGAGCTATTGAAGGGGCAGAAGAATGAATCATAAATCACAGCTTTTACAATATGAATAAATCAAAGGGAAGCTATTCAATCCGCCTGTCATTTCTAAATCCCCTCGGTGCATGGTTCCAAGTTGTCCCAAATCCTCTTGTCAAAGGGAGACGAGTTGAAGGATAAAAACAAGATAAGTTGTCAAAGACATACAAAACGCTCTTTAAAATACAATTACAGCAGCCGAAGACATAGCGCAGACTAAGCAAAGGGGCTGAAAATGTTTTTCAGCTTTGCCTTGCATCTCTTCCATCCATCTCCTATGCCTGAGCTGACAGGCACAAGTCATCCTCCTAATCAAAGATTGCCTCTCTAGCTCTTCCTTGCTCCCTCTCTAGCCCTCCCCCCTCCCTCATTGTCTCCTTACCACCAGCGCATGCAGTTTGAGAAAAAACAGGCCAAGACAAGATGACTCTGTTCAAATATATCTAAGCAATTCAATAGGGCAATCTCTCAGAAACTTGCCACCACAGTCAGCCTCTTCTGTTTTACATGGGTCACATTCAAAATCCGGATTTGGGTTAATGTAATACCATGATGCGACACCATCAAGATTAATGATTAAAACAGAGTAGAACTGGCCTGATATGAAAATGAAGTTTTAAGGAGCTAAAAACAGTCTGTATACCATCAACCTATTTAATTTCAGATAGTCAAAAATTAAGCACCCTCAAATAGTTTTATTTAAACAAATTTTTAACTACATTTTTAGTGATTCTAACAAAATTCGAGTGTACTCTGAGACTAAATTACATGGTTTATTGGTGTGGAATCATTTAGTTCAACCGGTATGCAAAAGTCATGTCCAAATATTGTATTGTTTTTTTTTTGTTTTGTTTTTTAGGTATGTTATATATTTGTTAAAAATCTGTTGCTTACCATAGCAAGGTCAAAGGTTAGTGTGTTTTTTTTCTCCTTCTGAGACCCAACCTCAACTATAAATTGAGGCTATTCTAACCAACTATCAGTTTGCGTTCTAATGGTGCATGGTGCTTGGACCCCGATGATTGCCACTTGTGATACAGATGGTCGTTTAGCTGTCATACAGCAATCCACAGATATAAAGGTGTTGTACGTCAGCTTCAGATGCATGTGGAAGCTGCCTGTCTTGTTTGCCAACATCCATAATTTACACATATTAACCATTTTTTGCTCACTGTTTGAAAGCTACTGAAGAAAGAAATCTGAATATGCAAAAATGAACCCAACTTCACCTCTTACGAAACATGGCTTTCCGTTCATGTTTTGGTAATGATCTCTCAGTTCTGACTGGCCAATAAAGTCTAAATACTATATCTATATTATAATGATGCTGATATGCTGTTTGTAGAAGAGCAGAGATTCCCTCTCAGAATTCTTACAAAACTCATCAAATCTACACAATTCAGGTGAATTACATATTCAGCATTCAAACTGGCAAATTTTGCCAAAAGGCAACACGTTTGCAAGTAAGATGACTGTCAGATGTCCACTGTGAATTGCTAGATATGGCTGTCAGTTCTCAAATCTAAAACTCAAAGACTGACATAGGAGCATTAAACCATTCAAAGCATGCTGTTTTAGCTAACAGCCACTGCTACATCTGAATGGATGTCAGTTTTTAGCACAATTTCACTCCTAGGCTAGCAGGCACTTCAGCCTTCAGCCTTACAATCAGTCATGGCTTCCATGTGGTATCTCCCAGGAACAAGACAATAAGTGGTTGCATCCAGAAAGCGGTAAAGAACACTACACAAACACCACAGCGTAACAGTCCAGCGGTACCGCGGTCGAAGACGCAGTTTTACAGACGAAACGGCTCAATTCAACATCCTGTCAGACAGCTTCTCGCTCCAGAGGAGCCGTAAAGAGAAAGCAGCATAATAAAGACAGGGGCCGAAACAGCGTGTGCAAAATAGGACCATCCGTCTCTCTTCCAATATCTGTTTCCAACCTGCTGCTGTGTGAACTCAATTATATCCTTCCATTCAGGCTGATGCAGAACCAGCCCATGACAGCGTTATTAAAGCGTAATGTATTTCAGGGTGATACGTCTTGTTCAAATTAGAGAAGGAATCGGAAACATGCCATTATGGGCGGAAATCATTTCCCTGCGGTAAATAATTGAACTGACATCCTGACTGGCATTGAAGGTGAATGAGGAAGTGTTCGCTCTGTGCATGTGATTGTGTGTTTTTTTTTCTCTGTGGCTTCATTTCCTATACAGAAGACAGATGGATGTTTCTCAGTTCCTCTGAGATGTTGAATATTTCTCTCTTTGTCTCTTTCACCTGACCTTTTGTAAGAATATGAGGTTCTCTAAAAGGCTGCTTGGCTGGTTATGGATACAGAACACAGGACAGTAACAGATGAAGTGCATACTTACCGCCTGCTTGGCTTTGGAGATGTCATCCATCTGAACATGCAGATCCTCAATCTCCACCTCCATGGACTTACGGGCCTTGACTGCAGCAGCACAGGTGAATTCTGACTCCTCCAGCTACAACACAAACAGGCACACGATATTTAGTCAGTCTAGGGACTTGTCTTGGATTCGAAAAAGGTGGTCTTGACTTCAGCCCTACTTAGCAGTCAGTTTTAGTATCCATGAGCCACTAGGCCAGCTTGTTCTAAAATCTAGACTTCTTACAAACCTTTTCCAAAAGTCTTTTTAACGAAACGAGTTGGTCAACATTGTGAAAATATAGACAATACCCACAAAACACTTAACGTGACCAAATTCAGTATTCTAACAATATTGTATCATCATATCGCCCAACCCTGCTGTCTGCTGATAGCTCACTAAGCTGCTTGAACCTGGTTTTTGAGCTGGGCGATCTCTCTCTTGCTGGGAGCGTTGTTTTTCAGGTGGTCCAGCATGATCTGGGCGTCGGCCAGCAGGGCCTTGGTGCGCTTCAGGTCCTTCCGCAGGCGCTTCTCTGTCTCCACATCTCTGTGGCTCACCTGGAAGACAGCACACAGCAAAGCAGAGTTAAAGCCAAGCAGCACACATGCCCAGCAGACTGTCAATGTCTGTTAACATGGCTCTCTCAGGGTATACACCCACTCACACAAACATACACCTTCACAAACATACAGAAGAAGGCCAGTGCATGCTGAAGAGTAGTGAAGCTACGGAAAAGTGCTGGGAGGGAGAGAGAGAGAGAGACAGACAGAGAGACAAGGAGAGAGCAAGCACATGTGAGTGCTGTTATGCACCTGGTCTTGAGCGGTCAGCAGCTTGGCCTCCAGCTCTCTCCTTTCTCTAAGGACCTTCTGTTTGTCTTCATATTCCTCCTCCAACTGCACCTCCATCTGCTTCAGCTATGGATACACATACACACATTGCAAAATGCAAAAGGACAACAAGAGCAGTTACAAATAAAAATGCAGACAATATCAAGAGCAGAACTTTTGATGGCACATTCTACAAATCTACAGCCCATGAAAAAGAAAAGGTTTTATATTTGAGCTGGTTTGTTATTGGTTGTTGCTGATTTTTGGCTGTGAGACAGCAATGGCACATGGTTTATATTGTTTCCATGTTGAAAAAATAAAGACGAGTCATGGTTGAGAAGCTATCCTAGAAGAAATCACTGCCATAAGGAAACAAATTCTTTGAAATTCTGCGCATGACAATAAGTAGAAAGGTGTAGTTACAACTTAATGATAAGGAAACCATATCTGTTTTAAGGTCCCTCTGCTATGTACAGTAATTCAGAGATCACCCTTTATGGCCATTAAGCACCAGTGTTTCGTGGCTTGCTTTCAGTTTTTTTAAACAGATCTGCAGAGAATTTTTTTTTAGCTGATGTACCGACATGGGAATCATGCCTGACGCCAAAATCTGAAATTTTTCATATACACATCTGCTGACACCTATACACAAAAATGTCTAAAATGTAGAAACTGGGACTAAATCTACCTGGATTAGCAAGAGTAGAGCTTGATTTTCTCTTCTTTCTCAAAGATGAAAGCTTTAAGTACTGTTTATCTGACGTTGACAGTTTTGGTGGTCTATCAGGTCATGCACAGTATCGCATTGTTTCTTTCCTTTAATAATTATTTGAACTTCAATTTTGGAAAATCACTTATTTTTCTTGACTTTCCTCTTCCGAGTGATTGCAAGTGGATTATTTTATATCTAATCTAACCAGAAATATAGCCGTTTTGACTGGAAGTTAAATCCATGAAGGATAGTCTCTGACTTTTGCACAGCACTCCAAGATGTATCACTCTTTTCTTCAGGTGTTTCCATTATTTTGTCATGTATATGTGTATAATTGTGGCCCACTGTCTTTAAATACGACAGTCATATTACAAGATTTTAAATCCAAAAGTGCTGTAAATGTCTGCTGCTGTAGCTTCACCCCCGTGCGGTGTGTTGCTCAGCATCCAATGCTATCTCTCAGAGACAGCACTGCTAGGAGGGTAATTATGGGATGCCCTGTACTGAGTGCTTGATTGGTTAAGTGGGGAGGAGGGTGAGGTCAATCATGCATGAGTGAAACCAAACCTCAGCTCCACAAATTATACATCAAAAACAAAATGTCAATGAGTTCAGCTTCACTGGTGGCCCCACACCCTGCCTCACCACAAACGCACCCGCCGTGTACCCACTATTAGCATGAGAAGTTGAAGCATGTGTTTATTATTCATCACGTTACTGACTGTGACTTGTTTACTCATGTTGCACGAGAGCACTAGAAGGCTGAAATAAATGGACCCTTATCTGAACACAAGCTTCAGCACTTCAAATGATTTTGGCTGAGTGATTCGGGCCAGCTGGAGTTTTCTAAGCTGTGGTGATGGTACAGCTTTTTCTGCTGATCTGAATCCAGGCTTATTGCTGATGGTGGGGTTTAGCTAGGGCTGCACGATTAATCGTACTAAAATCTCCAATTGTGTCTCGATGCAATTTGAATCAAGAACAGTGTCGATTCTGCATAAAACCAAGCAGCTCATTCCCTTTATGTGATGTGCCCAATGACTCTAAACATTGTGCCACGTGACCTGAAGCATGCTCTGATTTCCTCTATAAAATAATACACAGAAAAGCTACTTGAGTGCTAAAAATTCAGTCTTCAGTCTCTTCAGTCTTTCACTCTGTGAAATATTTTACTGTGCAAAAAACAGTGTAAAAACAAAACTGAACAACAAACAAATGAAACTGTGTCAATATCGTTTTCTAACACTAGCCTGTTGTTTTACTTCTGAATTTCTACAAGGCTAAGTTAGATTCTTACTAGGGAGCTTTTTGTTTGAATTTTCCTTTCAATAATTTCCATCCTTATATGGAGCAGCAGTTACGTTCTGGTACCTATAATGGTGCCTGAATGTAACTGCTGCACTATGTAAGGTGGAACAGCAATTTTGAATAAGAAGACAATTTCAGTTTTGTTGAATTTCTCAAGTAATTTGTCCCATATGTGTGTCCCATATACTCATACCTCTGACCATCAGACACTGTTGGAATTTGGAAATATTACAGCTATACAGCTATTAGTATCAGCTGGTCCATGGCTTTTCTTCTGCACAAGCCCCCAGGTTGAGATAAAACTAATCCCAAAAGACTGGCTGTTCCTTTGTCTGCTACCTCAAAAACACTAGGATAAAGAGGCTAACGTTAGCTTGGTTTGCACTCTTTTACACAGCTTTATCTGCACATACTTGTGGCATACCGGTATAACAGTTATGACAAGCCAGGTCAATGAATGGCTTCGCATTTAACAACGTTTTGAGGTAGATGCAGAACAACAAAACAGCTGGTTTTAAGCCGTTTTCAAGGTTTTACAAAAAGGATTCTTGTAATAGTTTTGTTTGAATATTATTTGTAAATCGTTTTAATGAAATTTATCAATACTTTGTGTTAAAATACTTTTTGCAACAACTCAGTATTACAGCTATTAAGAGATAAAATATGAACATACATTAAAATTAAATTAGAATTAAAATAATTCTCTGCAATGTATGTAACTCTGTAAAAATTCATATCATTCTTCACAAAACTGGTGTATCGAAGAATTATAAGAAAGACTTGTGATTTTAATTATAAGCCAAAAAATCATGTTACCAATTTAATCATGAATCATGCAGCCCTAGATCTGGGAAGAGAAGGCTGGTCCTGGGTCAGTTTAAGGCAAAAACATGGAATCTTACCTTCTTACTGCAGGACTGTCTGATCTCCTCCACTTCTTCATCTTTGCTCTCGATCTCTTTGGAGTGCATCTGTCTGAGCCTCTCCATCTCCATCTCCAGACGCAGCTTAGCCTGCAGGGCCAAATATTAGCATCTCAGTGCACACCAAACCACACACACCGTGCTTACATACAAGCATTTATGTCAAAAAACAAAATTAATTAAGCAGACATCACTTTTCATGCTAATATTTGGAATCCATGCAGCCTGTGCACCTAAGGAATGGGCCTTTCTGGAGATGTACCTTATAAAATAGCAGCTGAATTTGCACGTTGTGGCAATTATGCATGGACCATTTGAATTATTCAGGGAAGCAATAAATTAAACATGGATCGCATATCTGTGTGACTGCTTTGTAAATGAAACTACTGCTTCACAGCATCACTGATGCAGCTGGATATGTGTACGCACCTGCTCCAACATCTGAATGGTGCCTGCTTGCTCGTCCAGCTCCTCCTCCTGATCTTTGACCTTTGCTTCCAGGTCACGGAGCTGCTTTTTAACCTTGGCCAGTGAGGCTTCGTCCTTCGACTCCTGAGAGTTTAGGTCCTGCAGCTCCGCCTCCATCTGCTCCAACTTCAGATTGATCGCACACATCTCCAGATCTTTATCCTGAAGACAAAGAGAAAGAGAACAAAACCAGAGCTATAAGGTACACCTACCACATACTTATATTCAATGGCCATTTTATCAGTTCTACCTGTGATATAGGTGCACTTTATAGGTAAACAAATACTGACTAAAGTCCTCTATGCACAATCAGCTGCCTTCTACTGTATTTCATCCAGAATTTGTGTTAGTCATCCTTTACCACTTCATCAGCAATCAAGACTACCTTTGGCAGGATATGCTGATTGATGAATTAGTTTCAATCCAGCTGCAGTAACAATGCTTTTTCTGTTACACTCACACCAGCACAACAAACGCAAACATGTCACTGCTGTGCTGAGAATGGTCCATCCAAATTAACCGGTTTGTGGTGGTCCTATGGTAGTATTTTCCATTAATGGATGGAGTAGAGGGTGGCTAATAATTGTGCAGCAACAGACAGGCTACAGTCAAGGACTTTACACCTACAAAATGCAACAATATGGCAGGTGTTCCTGACAAAGGAGTGTGGATACAAGATACAGTCGTACACGAACGTTTGGGCAACCTGGTAAAGTGAAAAAAACACATTCTCTACAGAGAACACACTTCTGCACATTTTAATACACAATTACCGCTTATTTGTGAAATATATTGGAAGATTTGTTTACTGGAAAAAAAATAAATGTGGTGTGCAAAAGTTATGGCACCATTACTGTTAAACCATATGTTTTAATTTTCCAGTATGTTAAATTCACTAAGTAAGCAGAAATTGTGCTGTAAAATCAGCAGAAATTTGCCTCATTTAAGTTCACGTAGACGATTTGTTAACTTATTTTAACTTCGAAAATCAACAAACATTTGTATACAGCTGCAGATGTACCTAATAAAACTCAGTTTACTAGACACACAGGTAAGCAGTACATTGTAAGTAATACTGTACACTGTAACTCAGCAGGGAGTGAAGGAGAAAACGTCTGAGACAAATTAAGTGAAAGGCTGCTGACCTCCAGCTGCTGTCGGAGGCTGAACACTTCTCCAGTCAGCATGTCTTTCTCTCGGCTCAGCTTCTCACGCTGACTCCTCTCCCTCTGCACCTCCTCCTGAGCCTGACTCTGCTCCGAGTCAAACCTGCAAACACAAACACAAAAAGCTAAAATGATTGGTTTCCTGTTCCCACAGAGCAACCCTGTTTCATCTCATTTGTCTACACCTTTGTGGAACCATCCAAACCCAAACATCTAATAACAATCATTTACAGGCTGCCGATAAAGGCCTGAGTTTAGAAAAAAAGCACCTAACAACAATAATCATATACTTAAACAAGAAAAACAACAATGAACACATACCTGCCTCTTCTGAAATAGCCTAGCATGGCAGAGCAAAATGAGAAACCCTGCAAGTTGGCTAATTCTAGCAGGACTTTGTGACGTATGTGTCAGGAGGGGTATTAGAGAGAGTGGTTCTGATTGGTTTAACTGTGAGTGAGCAGTTGAGGGGGGGAGGCCTTAGGGGCACAATTTCTTCTTCCTTTTCTTCTTTTCACTCACCCTTTTTCTACCCTTCACACACTGCAAGGCCCTGTTAAGATCCCATAAATGGGTCTTATGCAATTCCCAGCGCTAATACTGGCTCCAGAGTAGAAGGGGGAGGATTTTCCCCTTTTCCCCCAGCATGCTCCACTTTTCTTTGGCCATTAGTTCACTCTATGCACTGGCTAAGCTGGGGCTGGCCTCAGGCTGTGTTTACGGTCATTACTGTACGCAGCACGGCTGGACAGCGTACCATTTGTTAATCATAATTTTACAGGCCAGAATATGTAAGCCCTCTAACCAAGTACAAAAAGATTTATTTTGTGCTATGAGCAAAACGACCAACTTCAGACATTCCATGAGTGTGTCTGTGGATGTTTTGATGATCAAGGGTTCACACATGTGTTTTCTAAAGGGCCCATATGATGGAAAAAAACGTATTTCCCTTGTTTGTTTCATAAAAGCATCTGATATAGGATGTAAATATTGTTTCAGAATGTACTGTCCATATGATCCATATAGGGAAATTATGCTTTTAAATTCTGTTTTTTTGATGTTATGAAAACCAATGCATTTACATATATCCATTTATTCAACTTACAGAAGCTCTTCTCACTCGAACTGAAGTTATAAGGAGTGTTTCAGCCCAGACTGCTTTTTGAATGAGGCACAATACAGAGCAGTCAATCAGAATAGAGGTCATTTACATACAATAGTGACAAATGTACTGTTTATTTTTCTTTATTAAATAGAATTCACTATTTCTATTTCTGGCACAGGGAGGTTGGAAAATGGTCAAGTTATGATTAATTATGGCCATTTCTGGTACATAAACCCACACAAATGTAAAGTGGACCTTGGGGGTAACAAATAAATAAAGAAAATAATGTAAGAAAGCCACTTTAATATATTGTGAGGCACATCGGAATCTTATTATGTAGTAATGGAGTCACAGTATGGTGTTCTGCCCATATCTTGCAGCCTTAGTAGGTAGAATAGCCTTTCACACATTCTCCCATGTTTACTCAAGAGTCTAGAGAAGCTTATCTACCAGCCCAGGACGCATTAACTCATACTCCGTTTCACTCACTGCTTATGCCTACTGTTAGTAATAATAACACCCATCAGAGGTAAGCAGTGAAAGAAGTCAAAACACCACCTGGATGATGAGACACCTTTTAGTTTCTAATCATTCTGTGTACTGCTGACTACTGTGTGTTGTGCTGTTTGATGGTTTACATGACTACTGTGGGCTTCGAGTACATTTGGGATTTTTCCACAACTCAGTCCCCGGCTGTGAAAGCTGGAACAGAGAAGCTAGCCCAGGCCAGGAAGTGCTGAGTGAGGCAGCAGCAGGCAGAGAGCCAGATGCTCCTACAATACTTGCCATGGACGTGCCCTGTCGAACCCTGTCTGCTACACAGAGACTACAGCCAGACACAACACACTCACTCTACCGCTCGCATGCTTCAGAATGATTAATACCAGTTATTAAGGTCTTGTGAATCTCTCTCTGTGGAGTCTCTCAGGCATAGTTCAATGAATCTCAACAATCCAAAAGCCAGAATCTTGGACCATCTTAGGGCTGCAACAAACGATTATTTCAATAAGCAGGTAATTGATAAACTATTGTTTAATTAATCAACTAATCAGAATATTATGCCTTCTGCAGTTTTCTTTTTGCTTTGTCACAATGCCACCATTATTCAAAGTTCCATCTCCGAGACAAGTGATTTCTTCTATGGTGCAATGAAACAACAGAGACCATAATGCTCCAGTGTTTCTTGTCACGTACCACTGCAATCTATCAGCATGAATATACGTATCATAAAAATATTAAACAGCACTTTTGTTTTCATTTTTTCCATAACCAATGCAGTCACCAACTAAACCTTGTCAACCAGCACATTCTAAATGTGATTATTGATAATAATTCTGATATTCAAGTGTCCATAAAAGTTAATGAACGGATATCCGGTTAATTATTGTGAATAAAAAAGGTACTTTTGCTTGATATAATACAAGCTATGATATCATACACAAACAAGGTAATCTGTACACTGGCGCTGGTAGAATAAAAAAAGCAGTTGGATCCCCAGTGATGCTACAGCCATCCGTGGGAGTGCAACTGCATGTCTTCACAACACACAGTGTCACATTTTTCAATTGTGATATCACAAGGTCACAATGCACTGTTACATCCCTGAAAGCTAGCAGTATTTTTGCTGAATCGAAAATTTGTCTCTGATTTTCCATGTTGGAATGTAATAAATACCAGAAATGCACACAAATTATAAAGTACTTGGGTAAAAGTTAAAGGTGCCAGTATTCAAATACTGAAATCACTATTTGGGTTCATCACATGAAGATATAGAGACTAATAATTCAGTGAAACACCAATTTTATGATTTAACAAGACTGCAGTATGTTACGGTTTTGATCATATTTGTGAGTAAGCATGAATATTACACCTTTGGTGTGTTTCCTAACTATAAAGCAGTGAATTTGAACTGTAGTTTAGATGCTTTACCAAGAGACTCCTCAACATGTTTACAGGCAATCATATTCACCTCGTACTCTCTCACCGTGTCTTTTCACTGATTATACCTAAGGTGGCCCTCAAGGAGCAGTGTTTAAGATTTAGTGGGATCTATTAGCAGAAATGGAATGTAGTATACAAAACCATGTTTGTATTAGTGTATAATTACCTGTAACTATGAATTGTGTGTTTTCTTTAGCTTAAATGACCCCTACATATCTACAGAGGGAGCGGGTCTTGTTCCAACAGAGGCCGGCATGTTGCGCTGCCATGTTTCTACAATAGCCCAGAATGGACAAACAAAAGAAATGTTGACACATGGAAAATAATACTTATTATTTAGCACAAGAAAAAGCAAGGGAATGTGAAGCAGAAACATGAAAAACAGAGACGAAATCAGGACAGGCAACGTCAGAAAACCTGACAGCAACAGTAGGTTCTACTACATGCTTGGAAGGGGAGGGGTGAGGCAGGGGTGTTCCGTTGGTTGCAATCTGCTACCTCACCACTAGATGCCACTAAATTGTACACACTGCACTTTTAAAAGGTACAGCAACATCACAACCGCTGTTAGGTACATGATGGGGGGCAAGGACGAGAGGGCAGATGTAGCATGGCTTTACTGCTAAGTGCTTTAACTACTTGAGCTAGTACCAACAACAGTGGAAATATATTTTTCTGACAAACGAACATCTTCGCACATCTTCCAAGACCTTGTGCAGGCTGATGAGCCCTTATCAGCATCCAGTCATATACCAGTTAGCTGTAATTTTGCCACATATACTCATTTTTCTTAAATAATAAAATAATAAAATGTTTCTCAAATGTATTCTTCTGTGTGCTACTAAATTTAGTGCTACTAAGTGTTTTATTTGGTATTTTGTTTTTTTCCCCCCTATCAGAGCTATAACCTTAAAAGAGTAAGGTTTGGTCTTTTTAGCTAAAGTATATTTTTTCCTTCACCCTGTGGTTAACCGGATACCTGTTCATCAACTCTTATGGATACCTGAATATTAAAATTAGTTTCAAATCTGGAATGATTAACAGAGTACTCATATACCTGTGCACAATGTCAACTAATCATTGTAACTGTGTTTTTGGTTGTTTTTGGCACTGGTTGGAAGTCAGCTCTACCATCAACAAGAAAATATGATAACCACCATCCACCTCTCAGAACTGATAAAACCAAATGTCCTGCTAAAACTAAATGTTCAAAATATCTACCTTTAATATATGATGATGCCTGTCAATATACTGTAATTTGCTGAATACATCCACACATTTTCAATCACGAAAAGCCTGCACATGGACACCTGCACATGAAGTACATATGGTTTTGTGGAGATGCGATGCTTACTTCCTCTGCTTCTTCTCCAGCTCATGATTGCGGCTCTGCTGGCCCTCCAGGTGCAGCTTGGTGTCCTGCAGCTCGGCTGTCAGTCTCTGGCACTTTTTCTTCAGCTGCTGCGCCACCCTCTGCATCTCGTCATTGTCTGCCTGCAGGTCCGTCAGCTAACACACACACACACACAAACACACACACTGTTCAGAGCTTGCTCAGAGCCAGCCTCTCCAGCCATCCTCCTGTCGGTTTGACTGAGGGCAAACCCAAGCAGCCTCTGCATGCATTCTTTATGTGGCCCGGTGTAAGTATAATCGTGTGCAACTGCACTTGTGTGTAAACTGCTGAGTCGGAGTCCGCAGGCCTGCTGTCTCGTGTCAGCTGGGGTAAAGAGTAATAGAAGCCTGTAGCAGACTGGGCATGCATGTCATACTGAATGATCCATCATAAACTCTGAGCATGATCTGCCTGTCTATTGCTCTTATGCCAGACAGCAATATAAGCTGTAGTATTTTGAAGCTGTACGTAAATGTATGTGACTGTGTGCATTTAAAGTGGTTGTGGTGTCATTTCATTCAGACGCTACGAGCACACTTCCATCTCAGCTATGCACTGTGCATATCTGAGGCGCTTTGTGTCAAGCAAATACTGATTGGGGTGAGAAAAAAATACTAATACTTGACCCCAACCAGCACTACACCCAAATGAAATAGGGCAGTGAGTTTTGGCTACAAAAAACCACTCAAAATCTCATCACTAAAAAGCAGCTAAACTGGACCAGATCTGCTTGTGCTTTTATGCACTTAAAAGAAGTGTAGACAAAACGCAAACTGGGGGTGGCTATGTGGTTGAGAATTGCAGATATCACAGTCAGAGCTGGAGAAATACTTTACGACAACCTGGCAGAGAGTGACAGTTTGCTTGCATTCAGCAAGCAGCTCCTCTGTCTGCTGTCCGCTGCTCACATGGAAGAATGCATGCATGCCTCTTTACCTTTTTGCTCTCTTCTTGCTCTCTCATTGGCTGTTGAATCACTTGTTCAAATCACTGCCTGAATCATTCGTTCAAATACATCTCACGCTACACGACTCATGAACCTTTTGAGTAGCAAAGTTGAACATGTCTGAAGGCTTCCAATCACTTTGTAGCTCGAATGGAAGGCTAAAGATCGACTCGTTTCTCCTCTCACGACACCAGATCATTTGCGCTGTCAATTACTTACCTGGTGGTTACCTGGTGCTCTGGATAAATCGCTTCAGATTGTGAAAATTTGTCGGAAGGGGCAAATCAAGGTTAAAATCAGGCAAAAACTTTAAGCAGTGTAAGTCCAGCTACGGCAAAATTTACTTTCCTCTTTGTGTTCTTTACACACTGCCCCCTACTGCACACATTTGTGTCATGTTCAAGTTGGCAGACACTTATGTGAACGTCTGCGCAAGACATCCACATGTTCGCTGATACGCAGATGCACAAGTATAATTCCGTCTTTAGGGATGTACTTAAGTTTTTTTGCTCCGATTCTGATCAAAGTCATTAACATTGAATATCAGAGCCATTAAGGTTCTGTCAAGTCCAATCTGATTTTGTAGATAAAAAAGCGTCAAAATGTTCAGTTCAAGTACCTTAAATTTAGTAAAACGTTCATAGTGTGACATTCTGAACTGATGTATTCTGTGAAACAACCATTATATAATGTCTTCATATAATCTCAGATTTTACTTTTTTGTATTTTCTCAGGTTTGAACATGTTAATACCATTGTGTAATAGCTGCACACTTCAATTTTATGTGTGGCTAGTTTAAGCAAGCGTTGACATGCAGTCAAAACACTGGCACTGCTAATATTTAAGTGCTTGACATGCTTCACCCTTCTAAGTTTTGGACAATTTATGTGACTTCTATGACAGTATAGCATAAATTGGTAAAATAGCCTCAATGAAGGATCTGAATCAAATCAGTCCTGTTACAGCTGATTATTTCAGACTGTATCAGAACATCTCAGGTTTGTGTATATTTGTATATATGAGAAGATCAGTCTTACCCGTCTTTCCAACTGCCTCTTGCTCTGCTGCTCCACTTCCAGTTTGTCATCAAACTCTTGCTGTAGTCTCTTCTTGGTGAACTCAATCTCTCTAACTGCTCGCTCATACTTCAGCCTCCACTCTCCACCTATATCAGCACAAAACATATTATAAACATGCAAATATCAATACACACACTCACATATATAGTCACACAGAGGTGCGTAGTAACTTTTTTAATTGTAATGGATTTGTACTTTTCCAAACATTTTCAAATGATAATACTGTAGCGTCTGCACAGAAGATGATGTAGACAACACTGTACATGCAGGAAATTTTTTATTTCTTAACAGGAACTTCAACAAAGGCAATAAAATGCCCAGCCCAGTGCTACAACAACACAAAACAAGGGATAACGCAAGAAGACACAACACACAAGGATAGACATATCTAACCACTAGTTACACTACAGCCCACTCTCTTCAGACACAATTACACTAATAAACTCAACTAGTCCAACACAACATCAGTAACAGCACTAACAAGTGTAAAATAAGTGTAAATTTTAACTGGGAGTGTGACACATCCAGTGAGCCAATTTGCATGGCTACATCCTCCAAGCTCCCATGAGAGCGCAGCTCGTGGCGGTCACTTTTACTTCTACTCAAGTACACAGCTGAGGAAAAGAATATACTTTTTATATATATATATATACTTACTTTTTTATATATATACTTTTTACATATATACTTTTGAACTTCTACTAAAGTTGTTTTTGGAAAGATATTTTTACTTGTACTTGACTCATTATTTCATCAAACAGTACTTTTACGGTTACAGTACTTTTACTGGAGTATGGACTTAGGCTACTCTACACACTTCTGTGTTCACATCACTCTCTAACATCACTCAATACGTTACTTTATTCAATGCAATGTCAAGCTGAACCCATTCAAATAGTGTATAACAAAATATCAATAACAATCCCTCCATGTTCTATGTCAAAACTTGTTTTTCACAGAATGAACATCCATGACACCTCAGATTAAACCTTAATCCATGACATTTTAGATTAATCTGGAATACATGATGCACTGTGAGGATCCCACAGGAGTCTTAACAGGTTTAAGAGTACCATGAAGAGTGCAGCCAAGTCCAGCTAATCAATACTAGAGAGAGTGGAACTGCAGGCGAGCAGGATAAATTAAGACCAACGTGGCTTAGCTTGAAGGTTTCGGAAATCAATCACATGCCGTTTAGGGGGAAACAGGAAAACAGCACTGCACGCCCAGGCACACTGCACACGAACAGGAATATCAGTCTTTTTCTACTCTGAACTGGCCACTAAATTATGCCGCTGAATGTGGTCAGGCACTTTTTATAGCCAATACTGTCCTAATGGCATGGCACCATCTGGAAAAACAGAGAAAGGGGGGAAAAAGAGAGAGGATAAAGAAAAGGAGAAAGAAGAAAAAAAGAAGAGACAGAGAAGACAGAACAGAGAGAGTGAAAGAAATGAGAGAGAAAGAGTGACTAAGCAAGAAGTGAGAGAGAAAGAAGACAGAGTTAGAGGATAGAAGACAGTGAGAAAGAGAAAGGAGGGAGAGGGAGATGAGCAATCAGAGAGAGAGACAGAAAGAACAGAAAAAAAGAGAGAGAGAGAGGACAGAAAAATAGAAAGAAGAAAAAGGTGTAGAGAGAGAGAGAGAGAGAGAGAGAGAGAGAGGAGAAAAAAAAGAGTTTGCAGGTGCAGAGAGAAAAAGGGAGAGAGAGAGAGAAAGAGAGCAAGCGACACTGACTGACAGAGAGATGTGTGTTGTTCTCCTCAGCATTTCCATAGAAATAGCCTAATGGCGGCCGGCTAGAAGCTGCACCTGATCCTGAAGATTATTTTCTCATTTGTCTGGAGGTGGCATGCCAAGGACAGACAGCGTACCTGAAGCAGCGCTCTAAAGCAGACAATCTGCAGGCCCAGTGAGCAAGGGCCCACCAAGCCCACCAAAATCCCTCCAGCAGAGGGACAAATACAGCCCATATGAGGAACGGTATCAGCAGCATACTCAGTCATCATATGGCGTTCCGCACTAATATCTCATTCTGTCTTTTCCAGTGTCAGGCTCGGGAACACGTCTGTGCTACAGAACTATGATGCGTGTTTTGTGTATGTGCGGTGTGTATGTGTGCATGTATTTGAGCAGGAAGTGATGTCACTCACCTGTGTCATCATCTTCCATCTCCCCGTTCAGCTCGGAGGCACGTATGAGCCGAGACTCCATCACTTCCATCTCCATAGACTCCATCTGCTTCTTCATGGAGTCATACTTGGCCTGAGACACATACACATCTCTTAGCTCTGCTGGGAAATAATCTAACCATCTGCTCACAGACAACAGCAGCTCTGAACATCACAGGCAGATGAAAACACACAAATATACGCACACCAACAGCAGCCATTGTCAAGAAAATACACCCAGACATGACATTTCCACAAATGATCTTTTTAACCCTATGGAACTGAGCGTCTTGCTGGCGATCCATTCAGAGAATTTGGGAATGACCCCTTAAACTCGTTAAATCTGCAGCCAGGGGACTTATGGTGTGTGCAGGTCTACGCTGGTCACAGTGAAATGTATCAGCATGTAGAATCTGCGTTTTCTGCAAGCTTTCATGCAAGCTTTTTTTCTGCAATGCATACTAGGAAAACAATCATGGAGACAACCTTGTTATCCATCCTAGACTACAGTGATGTAAGCTATAGACATGTGTCCGCCAGTTGCCTCAATCTACCACTCTGCTCTGAGATTCATTACTGAGACCCTTACGACACTTATTACTGCAGTCCGTATGAAAAAGCTGGTTGGTCCTCTAGCTGTGCAGCAGGAAACTCATTGATTTGTTGTTTTTACGTATTGTTTTGCTATTTTATCTCTATTACTTATTTTAGCTTTTATTTATTTGCTTTATTCATTTAAGATTTTTCAATTAGTCTTGGTAGTTTTGATTTTATTTTTATTAAACTTAGGTGTATGTTTAGTGTGCATGTTTTTTAATGCAATATTTAATGTAAAAAAATTCATTTTAAATTTAAATGTAGCACTACTAGCGCATTCTGTCTGTGTGTGGAAGGTCCATGACATGCATATTGCCCACCCCCATAAGTACTTGCAACAAATTTGGTTCTGTATTACTAAAACCAGTGATTCTAACCTTTGGAACGATAATGTATGCTAAGACCAACAATATGCTCGTGAAGTGCTTTTTAGAAAAGTTGAACGTTTCATTTTTAAAACTGAAAGGTCAAAACCATTTCTTTTTGATTACTGAGACCAAAGTTACAGTCAGCATAGACCCTAAATATTACCACATATTGGCAGTTACTAGGGCTACACTGATATGGGAACTGTGATGCCGATATCCAATATTTTTCATGTACATATTTGTTGATGCCAATACATAAATAATACATCTATAAATGTAGAAATTGTGACTGCATCTATCTTGATTAGCACTACAACAAAATCTAACTTTTATTTCTATAAGGTTACAAATGCAATACAAATAATGGCCAAAACTAAATATGCGTCCGATGACAATACTTTTTAAGCAATGCCGATATCAATATGATTCTGATATTATTGTGCATCCCTAGCAGTTACATATATATATATACTTGTGCTAGTACCTGAAGGTCCTTCATGTCTTTCTCCAGTCGTAGTCTCTCTGAGGTCTCGGACTCCAGCAGCTGAGAGGCAGACTCGCCCGTGTTCCGTTCATCAGTGAGCTCTGACGACAGCTCTGTGATCTAAACGCAGGAGCTTATTATCATACCACTGGTGGTTCTTACATGACCTCACTCTACCGGCCTACAGATGACCAGCAGTGAAACAGTTCATCTCTAACACAAATGTAACAGTGCATCTTGAAATCATGGTTTATATATGTGACACAAAGCTGCTGGAATTTTATGGCCATGTCACGGGGCTGAGTCAGTGAGACTGCTGGTGTCTGCGTGTCTGTTGTTTGATGCACTACTGAGACTTTCTAAAAGTAACTCAATGAAAAACATTATTATTTGGTCTTGGAATAGTGTTGATCCAAAGGAAAAGCAGCGTGTGTGAGCCTCACCCTGCTCTCTAAACGGTCGGTGTTGAGTCGCAGCTCATTTCTCTCCTTCTCCACTTTCTCCAGCTTCTGCTTCAGCTGCTGAATCTCCTCCTGAGAAGAGTCAGACAGAGAGAAAACACGAAGTCAGGCAGACAGCTCACAGTCAGCACACCGTCAGACTGATAGCAATCAAATTCAGGACAGACAGTCGCTCCAACAGAGAGATACACTGCCAAAGCCACCGCAGGAAGGACAATCCTAGACAGCGGGGTACTGCCAGAGGATAACATCAGACAGCCAACTGATATGAGACCGTTTAACCCTTGATTGTCTACAGTTATCACTGTTGTGCTATACTGTTTCAATATAACATAATTACATAATTTGGTTACATTTATATTTGACATACATTCTGTTTAAAAAAAATGGAATCTGTTTTTTCCTTTTGTTTTCACGTTAAACAATGGCAAAAATATGACAATGTAAATTTAATTTACACAAAAGTAGACTGTGCAAAAAAGGTACATTTTCTTTAAATTCAAATCAAAACAAAATCTTCTCTTCATAAACACGCAATAGATGGTGTCTATTGCAGGACTTTAACTAACAACTATTTCAATAAACAATTAATCTACAGACTGCTATTTGATTAATCGACTAATCCAGCCATTATGTCTTCTGCTTATCACGCGTGTTACAGTGCCACCTTTATTTAAGGTTCCGTCTGCGCAACAAGCGATTTCTCTGACAAAACAACAGAACACATATCAAACGCTGCAATATGTTAGAATATCATACATCATATCATATAAACCTAATCTTTAGTTGGTTACCGCACAAGAATAAAAAAAAATCTTTCTATGAAGAGAAGTGATTAACAACAAGAAAAATAAGACTAATCAGTTAGTTATATCAGTTAATATATAGACTGCTATTTGATTAATTGACCAGTCTGATTGACTGTTATCAGCCTTTTCTATAAGTAAACAATAAGATATTTCTTAAGTAAATTATACATTCAATAAGCTACGAGTGAGAAAGAATTAATATCATGTTTTGGTTATTGCCAGTATTATGTGAGATTTGCAAGGATTAAGAGAAAGGCCAGGCAGGCAGAAGGTCAGACAGGTAGCTTCATCTCATCCTCAATATCTTTTTTGGAGAAACTCCTCTCCTCTCTTCTCTATACCCCTCTACCACAGTTACCTGGGCTGGCTGTGAAGCAGACGGGGGGCAGAGGCAATCAGCTCCAGCTCTGCAGGCTGTTTGGCTAAAGGAGATAGCGGTGTTGTTTGTTTTTAAAGGCAGACTGCTTAGAGCCAGAGTCAGCACCGTCTCTCTCTCTGAGGAACACGCCTCACTGCACAGACTCACAACACTCAGCAGGCTGGTCGACGTGCTGTGCATATACACACATACATTCTCACACACATGCACACACACACTCGCTGTGACTTGCTAATGCAGTTTCCCATTGGAAGCGGAGCTGCATTTGATCTAACCAACGCCTCTGCGCCGCCTGCGCTTCCCTATAGAGCCAGCAGGCTGAAACTACACAGATAATGTATTCACCCACAACCCTGCCACACACTAACTCTCTACAAACAGTCAGATTGAGCCAAGCCTCAGAGGGATGAATCAAAAGGACGAGCGCTTTGGGTGAGACTGAACGGAACTGCTGGAAGCTGCAGCTGGAATTCAGGAGGGACCAGGTCGGGAAGAGAAACTGAGACGGGCATTAGAACCTTCCAGATGGGCTTTACCTCCAGCTCTGCCACTGCCAAAAGCCAAAACCTGGACATGACACACCGATTTAGAAGCATTTGAAGTGGCTGGGGGAGGATTGGCAGCTTCAATGAGGATGGTGAAAGAGAGCGAGAGAGAGCGAGAGCGAGAGAGAGAGAGAGAGAGAGAGAGAGAGAGAGAGAGAGAGAGAGAGAGATCCCAGGACAGAGATTGGTAGAGGCAGAGGGGGAGAAAAACTGTTAGAGACTGTTGTCTCAGAGACGGTGCATGAGATACAGAGAAACAGAGAAAACATGACTGACTGATGATTTCAACCAATATCGTCTCATGGATTTATCAGCATCTGCACCAAAAGCACCGTTTAACTAAAGCACAGAGTCTGGAGAAAAAGACACAGACTGGGAAGGAGAAAATGAGAGAGTGAAAGAGAGAGGGAGAAGTGGTGACTTACGTCTTTTCCACGGATCTGCTCCTCTGTGAGCTGCACCTCAATCAGCGGCCGCACAGTGGTGAAGAGCTTCCACCAGGGCCAGCCCTTCACACCCCGGTTCTTCTTGATGTTCTTTTGGATGCAGCGGATAGCCAGGTCCTGGATCTGGAAAATGACAACACATGGGTGAGACCAAAAAACAGAGCATTCCAAAACACTGCTAACACCACACAGAGGAACAGTCCACTGTAGTAATGTAATGATGTGGGGTTCCCTGCCCACAGCAGTGAAAAGAAGAGGCCCATGAGCTGTACAGGGGGCAGCACCTTAGTCCAGCATGGGAGTACAGGGCAGGCCTGGCTAGACAATAGCAGCCCTGTGTGTGGCAGTCCAGGACAGACTGAAAACGCCTCTGAATGCCCCCCATTCAGCTCCAGAGACGAGACTGTTGCACCATCAAAAGCTCTCATACCCTGGACGCAAAGCAATCTTGACCAAACCAGTCGGATTTATAGGCCAAAATGCAGCTATTACTGCAGGTAGGAAGAAAAAGTTAACATGAACACTCATTGAAGCGAAGCATCACTTTTCCATTGCAACTAGGGTTTCCAATGGCTGTGGTCATTTCCATGACCTATGAGAACTCTGATATATCTGTAACAACTGCTGTTGTACTGTAATGACAGGATGCATTTTGTGCCTTTAACTTCATATACATGCAATTTCTTACTGTAAACAAACAAGCATTTGTGAGATCCTGCTGGTGTGGGTTGATGTCAGTTTCTTCCCGTTCAACGATGCACACAAAATTTACTCAAATGCTATTAGTTCCCCTTTTGGAGAATTCAGCCTGTTAAACATGAGTGATTGGTGACTTGCAAGCCAGATCAATGAGGTGTTTAATATCTTAAAATGCTTGCTGCTAAATGAGGTCACCAGAAAAATCAAACAGTGGAGCGGTTCTGGAGCCTCACCAAAGAGATCAGTCTCCTCACCGCTGGGTGCTTAAGAAAGGCCCAAAGTCCTCGCGGGTAATTAAATCACACATCAATACTGGTTGGCAGCTAATTTAAACCTTTATAAGATTTTCTAGCTGCTGGAACACGTGTATCTTCAATAAGAACAGATTATCTGGAAACCCAATTAGATTGGCAAAATTCACACCATCGGCAGGCCTGGTTTTGAGCAAGCCGGTGGTGGCTTGCGGGTAATCTGTCACACTGAGAGAGCCTTAACGCGCCGCAAAATCGTGTCTGTCCTCTCTCTAACAGCCCTGACCAGCATATGCAATGGAGCTCATTTGCTACGCTCTGCCCACAACAAATGCTAGCCACAGCCATGCACACAGATGGGAAGGGAAGAAGGTGAATCGGGGAAAGCTTCCTAATTAAAACGGCCGTCTGGAGGCAGCGCCGTCTGAAAGCAGCCAAGGCCTGCCAGACAGTTCTGTGTGGCATCCACAGTAAGGGGGAGTGCCAACAAGATGTGTTCTTCTCTTTCCTACAGGTGACTCTATCTCCAGCCAGGTGTGCTAGCTTGAATTCTAATACAGAGCAGCAGGTGGCGCTCATTTGGACATGCCTTACCGACACATATGCCACAAACACACCTGCTCGTTCTTGGAGCAAACACCCATGTCTTTAGGCAACGATTTAATTAGACACGAGATCAGCCGCTCGGTGGAATTCCCAACGTGGCGCAGAGCCGTTCGCGATGACCGTCAAAGAGACAGGAGGAGGAGGAACAGGCCTGCAGGGTTCAAAGAGATACAGACTATGTTCCGAGATGAAGCCTTTTGAAAAGGCACCTCCAAGTCAGCAGCCTCAATTGAGGCTTCCAGACTTCAAGGCGCAGTGACCCCCCCAGAGCTTTCGATCTGACAGAGGAAGAAATAAACAGGGTTTGTTTTTGTGGCAGTTGTTGTTTCTGAGATGAAGTCAGCCTGCTTCCACCAGCCAGTCTCTTATAGAGCTAATTAAAGAAATAAAGCAGGCTAACTTGTGCCAGCAGCACTTCTCACGGTGCCAGTGCTCAAATCCACCTCCCCAAGCCACCGTTACCAACAGAAACACACAAGCGTTTCATAAGCAGAAAACTACAAATCCACTCCAACTGCACTCTTAAGGCCCTGACACACAAGGACAATGAACTAGCCAAAGCCTTAGAACTAGTGCCAAGCAAAGCCAACTGGCTATCACCCTCCCTCACTGCCATCTGTGAAAAGTTGCACTTAACCACACCATAAGAACAACAGCTGATGTCCAGCATGTACGTTCTGCAACTGTATGGAAGGAAATAACTTTACACTAGAAGCTGGCAGTAGTCTGTATCTATAATCAATAAGACGCAGGACTACTAGTTACTCTGCCACTTGAGCCATAAGCTAGAAAATCATTAGGCCAAAATTTTGAATATTTAAATTTAACATTTATCACATAGACACTGTATTTACAATTAACAAGCATGCTGCAGTACCAAAAACAGTTGTTTTTTTTGAGTCCCTCATGTTCATTTTTTTCCATTATATCAGTCAAACCATGTAATGACATTAAAGGATCCTCGTTTTTTGCGATAAAGACAGCCAGATAAAAGATATATCATCATCATTCTATTCCACTAACCCAACTCTATCCTCTTTAGGCTTTGATCAATTAGCCCTGCAGGGCTGTTATTAGAATCGCTGCAGACCACTGCATAATGCCACAAAGCTGCAGCCGTGCTTCTGAACGTTACTACTCTCATGGCAGACCGCTAAGAACATTCTAGAAAGAAGTTGTCACTTTGTGTCATGTTAGCTATCAGTGGTGACATTTACATTAGCTGATGCAAAAATTCTGTGTCCAATCAGGGTCTAGTTCCTCCGTGCGAGGGTCAAAAGTAGTTGTTTTATTTTTAATAAGTGGATATTTGTGAATTGGTGGTCCAGTGTTGCATGGGAATTAGCACAAAAAACACACATATATCTAAGGGAGTGGCCACTCAGGCAACAGCCCCTAAATTGAAGGGGCCAAAACATGAAATGGCTGGTCTCTGAAACCAACTCAACATGCTCAATCAGCTGAACGGGCACTGTCAAGGGCTGGGGAGAGCCAACAGTGCAGAACACAACAAAAAATTACGGGCAACAGTCAGCCACAAATGCTCAATGACAGGCGGCAGTCAGTTTGATATAACGGGGCCTATACATGCTTCTGATTGGCAATACATTGCAATAACAGATTCGTGAAAAAGGCGCCAGCATCCTCGGCTCAGCTCGACTTCCTGTCCTGAGGGAAAAAAATCCTTTATGGGAGGACATATTCCTTTGGGCAACAGTGGTCTCACCAAGTGGCAATTTATCACAGAGTTTTGTGGGTACAATGACAGCAAAAGGGCAATAACAGTGCATCTCTGTTCTCCAATAAATGTCACAACCTGGTCTGAATGTAAACAGAAACAGCTGAGACACTTCAGAACAAAAACTGAGAGAGAGAAGGGACATTCTGTGACCCTTTTACAGACACAGCTGGAAAGCTGCTCACCTACAAATAAAATCAGCAAAAACACTCTGCCAGATAAACAACCAAGTTAAAGCATGCAGACTGGGCTTCGCCACACAAAATCCCAGCACATGCAACAGCTATGAGTAAGCTCTGTAGAAAGTGCCGCACTGACCTAAAAAGCTCAAAGCCAAACAAGTTCTGCGTGGCCTTGACCTCTACCAGAGCCACAGGAGTGCAGTAAAACAAAGTTTTCCTTAAAAAAGTACTGCAGAGACTCCAGAGCAGCCGAGAGTAGCATGCAGGTCTGAGAGCACATTTCAGGGTTAACACTGCAGCACCCAGCCCAAAAAGAAACTACTGTACTCTCTCACTCCTTCAGACTGAGAGGTACACAGGTGGTCAGAAACAGCCCTGTGTCTGATTAACCATACCAGGATTGAGTGTGTACTCCAACCTACTCTGAACTGAGCCTCAAAGTCTGAGTGAAACTGTAAGGGCATGTTCACACTTGGCAGGTTTGGTTAAATTAAAATGAACCCAATGAAGGAATGCTGTGATGTAAACCCTAAAGCACATCAAATAAGCAGACTGAGACCCCCTGAGGAAGCCAGTCTCGGTCTGCTTCCAAATGAACGCACCTGGTATGGTTTGTTTGAAATATGAACGCAAAACGAACCAAAGGCGTCTGAACAAACCAAACACATATTGAACTATTGTATTATCTCTACAGACTTTTAGTATCTGCAATAGACGAATTTCTGATGCTGTTTTGATGTGCATCTCTTCATCACCTCTGAATGAGTAATTATAGAATGGATAGTTTTGGTTTTAAAATCAGGCTGGGGAATATGCCACACATTACAAAATATTTGCTATACACATATCACCGCACACATCAATCATATTTTATATTTTGACTTTTTTGAACGTTTTATAAAAGCAGTAAGAGACACAAAGTTGTGTCACTTCCTAGTGACTTTACTTCACTTTTTGTCATGGGAAAGCATGTCCTTTTGTGGCATTTCGCTCTAGAATACAGATAAAACAGGACAAATATAAACACGATCTTAGACCAGAGTGCAGTGTGATTCAGAAAGTGTGTTGGACATTGTCCTATTTAATTTCACCAAATACACTTCACTGAATTGCCCATTGAACCAAATACACTTCATTGAATTACCCATTGAATTGGACCACAAGAACCAAACTACAACTGTAAACGCACCGTGTAAGAGTGTAAGAGACTTAAAAAAAAAAAATAGGCAGAAGGTCTACACTTGAGTATGCGAGAGAAAGTAATGTGAGAAAGAGAGAGAGAGAAAGAGAGATATAGAGTGAGAGAAAAATGAATGAATGCAGGGCAGGACACCGTGCCCTGAAACATAGAGGGGGTAAAGCCCTGAGGAGGAGAGAGGGTTAGTGGAAAGAAGAGATGAATGGACAGAGAGAGAAAGGGCAGGCAGGTGGCGGGTGGCGGAGGATCGATAGGGCCGTGATGGAGTGCTGAGGGGGCGACGGCTGTCCCCAGAGACGTGCAGATTGAATGCTATCTGCCAGCTGAGGGCACAGCCGGTGGGATTTATCATGGGGCACTCTGATGAAATTCTGATGTACTTCTGATGTACAAATTCCACAGCAGATGGAGGTGCACTAACCATGGAAGACTCTTCATTTCAAGAGCTACCGCTGGACACATAATGCAGTCACTCTGCATCAAGTTTTTTTTTTTTCAGGCACTAAGATTTTTTGTCCAAACTACACAGCTGAAAAAAGCATGCAATTACTGCATTATAAATTACGACGTAATGGGATACAGTAATAGTTAAGAACAGAGGAATCCACAGGGACTCACCTTTCTTTTCTTAAACGCCTGCCGGGCGAGGTATCCTCTGCAGGCGGCCTGGAAGAGAGTGATGTTGCGCCTTGTCTGCATGTCCCTCTGCTCCTCCAGCTTGGCCAGAACACCTGCCCTGAAGAACACCTGCACACACAGAGCACTGCTATAAGGTCTCAGGCTAAGGGTGGGCAATATGGCAAAAAAAGAACATTACAGTACTTGAAGAGATTTTCTTGATATGTATCATAAAAGTGAAAATATGTATCACTAAAAATATACATCACGAAACACAAATAACACAAATAATGACCCTAACTGTAATATAAAAATAACTATAACTGCTGAGAACCATAATTATTAATAATAAAGATTATTGTTGTTAACAGGCATTGTATAATTGGTCTGATTATGCCCATGATTTACTGACAATATCTATGTTTAAATCGGAGAAGCATGCTGTGAATTTTTCACAATAATGACCTCAGGCACTGTAGCTATTAACCAGCTACAGTGCCCTCTGCAAATATTAGCACCCCTGGTAAAAAGCTTTCTTTATTGCTTATCCTTTTGATCTTTCATTCAAAATATTAACAAAAATCTAACCTTTATCTGAAGTACAAAGATTAACACAAAATTTTATCATGAGATAAAGATCATTCTCAAATCTATGTGTGCCACAACTGTTGGCACTTCTAGAAATTATTATGAGTGAAATCTAAGTGTAGTACCTCCTCATTCATATTTTATATTTTAAAGTTCACTTGATGATTATGAACACTTAAATGATAAGCCATGACTTGCTGTTTCGCTGGGGTATATATGTGGTGACACACAGGCCAAATTCCCTTGTTATCCATCACTAAGAGGAAGACCAGAGAATACAGCAATGATGTGCAACAAAAGGTTTCTGAGCTGTATAAATCAGGAAATGGCTACAAGAAAATAGCTAAACAGTTAATGCCCACTTCCACTATCAGGTCAATAATTTAGAAGTTTAAAGCAACTGGATATGTTTAAAAAACTGCTGGAAAGAGGACATATGTTTATATTGACCCCACACACCGTGAGGAGGATGGTTCAAGGATCACAGCTGGAGAGCTGTAGACATTAGTTACATCTTGAGGTCAGAACATCAGCCAAACTACAACCAGATACGACCTCCCTTATTTGGAGGGTTGCCAGAAAAAAGTCTCTGATGTCAAGGACCAAAAACTCAAACTCCTATAGTTTGCCAGACATTACTGGAACTTTCAGTGGGACCGTGCTCTTTGGTCAGATGAGACCAACAAACAGGAATGCCTGGTGTAGACACAAAGATAACCACACAGAAAGTACCTTATCCTAACTATGAAGTAAGGTGGTGGATCTGTGATCTTATATGGCTGTTTGTCTTCCAAAGGCCCTGAACAGTTTGTTCAGGTACACAATATTCATAGACTCCATCAAGTGCAAGCAGACGTTAAATCAAAACCTGATAGCCTCAACCAGGAAGCTTAAACTAAGCCATGGTTGAATCTTTCAGTAGGACAATGATCCAAAGCACACCTCAAAATCAAAACAAAAATGGTTCACTGACCACAGAATAAAGGTTTTGCCACAGTCACCCCCATCCCCTGACCAATATCTCATAGAAAACCTATGAGAGGATCTGCGTGGACCACAGAATCTGAAGGATCTAGAGAGATTCTGTATGGAGGAGTGGTCTCAGATCCCTTGCAAAGTGTTGTCTAGTCTCATTAAACATTACAGGAGAAAACTCCGAGCTTTTATCTTTGCAAAGGGAGGCTGCAAAAGGATTAACTGAAGGAGTTTCAACAACTGTGGCACACAGATTTGAGTTTTCCATAAGATGTAGGTTTTTTCAAATCATTGTACATCAAATAAATATTAGATTTTTGTTAATATTTGAACGAGAGGATATATATTTGAATGAATCTGAATGAAAGATCAAAAGTATAAGCACTGAAGAATGGTTTTTGACAGCCCTTTACCCATTTTACAGCCCATTTTTTTTAAACCAAACGTAACAGTTCAAACATAAAAACACGAAATGATTTCACTATAATATTTTAAAGTAATTGGCAGCATAGTACATATTACCTAAAATTATTTTTACCACCTTTAAAGGGCCCATACCACATGGAGAATCATGGAGAACGGAGAATTTAAGTCACTACATGAGTTTGATGTACTATGCAAACATTAAGTTATAAAACGAGCTGTTTACTCTCCAGTCCATACGGTCAATATATGGTAACTAAGCTGTGGAAGCTGTTTCAAAATTGTTTTTTTTTGTGATGTCACAAAAATAAATACACATGCATGTATCCACCTATTCAGTCTATAGCAATTTAGTCCTGTCAATTCTCGCTGAAGTTATAAGGAGTGTTTTAGCCCGGACTGCTTTTTGAATGAGGTGCAATACAGGGCAGCCAATCAGAAGAGAGGTCATTTATATAGATCAGTCTTAAAACCAGTAACAAAACCAGCATGTTTACTTCTAAGGGATGAAATGGTTATGTATTTTATGCACCTAAGGCTGTATTGCACCTTGCATATTTGTTCCTCTGTAAATATGCTATACATATATAGATTGAAAATTGGAAAAATGGATTGAGAGTCTCTAGAATGTTTCAGATGCAGGTGCCTGCCTCAGATTCCTCTATATGTTCTGAGTGAAATGAAACACACTTCTGTATAATTGACAAAAGAACAATGATGCATACAGGTAAACTAGTGCCTGAAAATCTATGTACTCTACAACAGTCATTCAGTTTTTCCTTCCTTTCTCTTTGCATAGCTCTATGAAACAAACAATATCTGCAGGGAAGCCTTTTGGGGAGCTTGAGTTTTCCATATCAAGCTCTGCCAATGCACCGTTTCCCTTGCAATTTTCCACTTGGTGACAAGCGTGTCAAACTGAGGGGCGCAACAGCACAAGTGTGGAAAAGCCCTCCCCCGTTTTCTCTTCTAATAAAGAGAAGCTGAAGTGAGCCGCTCTTCTTGTTTTCTTGCGTTTCCTTTCATCCATTGCTCCAGACACTAATTACATTAGCATACTATTAGTATTAATGGCAGAGTTAGACCCACAGAGCCTTATTTGCTACCTTTGGTGCACTGTGAAATTTATACCTGGAGTGTGGAGGGAATTCTGCTAAGAGAAAAGGCCTCAGAGAAGTTCTGAGCCTGCAGATTCAATTACTCCACATCTGTGAAGATGGCAACAAATGTCTCTTGATTGAGCTTTTATCTGCGGCTGCTCCGAAGCATAATCTTCTTCTTCAGATCAAAGCCGGAGAGCCTTTCTCTGCCGTGTGTTGCACTTTGTTGTTATTACATCCAGCGTACTCTCTCAGAGCGCCCTCCATCACATCTTGTAGGAGAGTGGAGGGTTATGGAAAGATGCCATATTGATCTTAACTCTGACTGAGCTCAAAGCCTCTGGCACTCTGCTGACACCCCCACTGCAAAGTAAGTGAGAATAAATCACAATACATTTAACAGCACTCTCCCTGCTACGACCCCCAATTCCACACGTTAGTGCTTCTTGCTGTAGTGCATGAGAAAGCGGAGGAAGTTATATGAGGGCCAGTGAAGATCACTCACGCCACCTGTCTCGAAGTGGGACCTCAGGCGGGACACCTCTTCATCTCTGGAGATGTTTATGGGCGAACAGAGATCTCATTCGCAATGCTAGTGAATATGTGCTGGAAAATATTCTTGACTTCATTGTACCAAAGACCTGATTCCATGTCTTCTTTAGTGATGTGTGTGTGTATCTGTGTGCAATACGCAGTCCAGCAGCGTGTCCCAACATGCTTAGTTTCAGCTTATGCATTAAGGGTTTCAAGGCTTCCAGGGGTCCACTTAATAAATTTGAAACTGCTAGTCTTAATTCAACAAACAACATTAAACTTAAAATAGTATGGTGTGAAGGGGGTAATTTGCAATTATTTACGCTGACCGCAATTATTTTTCACAGCTGTTATCTTTCAAAATTAAATGTTTACATTGCAACAAATAGAATGTGAATTGGGTGCATTTTCATCCATTGAGTTGAAATAAATTTATGTAAATAAAAAAGCAGAAAATGTATTTATTGTCTTACAAAACAACAAAACTTTTAACTTCGGAATGGTGCTATAACAACTTTAGAGGGAAGCAGTGAGTCATGTTTGTTTCTTTGAGCCGTTTCTGTCATCAGTTCGGAGTTACTAAGTATCAACAGTTAGAGATGCAAGCTAATCAGCCTCATTTTGGTCCCTTAGGTTTCTATTTTAATACAATTTAAATGTCTTCCAAAACAATTTGATTCTTAATTGCAATTATTCGTCAGCTGAAATTTCATAATTGTGACAGGCCTAGCTGGAATGCTAATATCCTTCTTATAACGATGTTACACTGTAGCAGCCATGACCAGTCTGCTCTCTAGAGCAGGGCTAAAGTTGGATCCTGAGGACTTTTGATTAGGCATGCCTTAAAGTAACTCAACAGCTTCAACCAAAGAGAAATTTTCTTTTAAACTTGTATTTTTAAAGTATTCTAAGAACAACATACACTGTAATGTTCTAAAATATTCTTTATAAACTTTGTTTCAAACCTACCTACCCTCTGTATTCATCCACAGTTATACCTTTTTGGCCCTCAACCCAGCATAAACAATGCACTTTGGCTGACCGAGACAAACGTTAAGGCATCTCTGCACTATAGTCAATAGTGGAAAAAAAAAGTTTGGAATCACTTTCTGTTTTTACAATTTATTTTATATACAATAATACAATGTGGATTTAAATTTTACAACCTATTTGCCAATATCTGCCTATTCTGTTTTTAGAAGTTTTATTCAATATTTCAATAGCTCTGTAAACAAAAAGTGAATAAAATGATAAATAATATACTGTAATCATCTATTTAAATAAGTTTTTGTCAGGTTCTCCGATTTGACCACTACTTTTGAAACATGATCAATTCTGTATGTTAATGTTACTATAACTTACTCAATGTTATATAGCTTTCACAATAATTTAAAGGTTTTCTATGCCTTTGTTCACCATTCTAGACATATAATTTCTACATTTTTAATTACAGCTTTCTAGTATCTTACTAATTATTAGAGAGGTAAAGCTGCACAGAAACAACTTTAA